ATGAATCCAAACCCAGGCCCAAGCAGGTTGCACAAGAAAAAGGCTCCGGACTAGGGACAGCAAAGGACTGGTTTCCCCCAAACTCCAGTGGTTTATATATGTCATAACAAAACCTGTACAGTAGCGCCAGGGAATTTGGGACAGCAAAGGACTGGGTTCCCCCAAACTCCAGTTAGGGATATCGGCGAACGCACTGCGCAGCCCATCTGCGCAGGTCAGCCTGGCCCATCTACGCGCGGCCGACAACAAAACTCATGAACACTTTCATTTTTTTGCAAAATAAATCGTGTGAAGAAGATGCACGGAATGGCTGAAAACTAGGCTGAGGAATAGTAGCATCCAGAGACTCTCAAACAAATTCATGGTCCATCGCTTCTGACAATGGCAGGGAAGACATCAGGGAGCTGATTGCAGCAACTCTCTACCAAGCGCGATGCTGGTTACTCACCAGGGCAGGGCGCTTCCATCGCGCAAGAAATGGCCGCGAGCGAGAAATGCAAGTTCGATTTGGAACGATCCAACCAGGGAAATCTCTTGCAATTCGGCCTGAACACCTCTCATACTGGTGTTTCACGATGTGCAAACTTTCAGAGAAATCGACCGGGGAGAACGTGGTGAGTACGTGGGTCCTTCGTCTCGCGTATGATTTGAATGGTCGCGGGGACAGAAGAACAGTAATTTTACGACTCCCAGCGGTGCAAACAGACCGCGGCCATGTTTTCTCTGTCGGCCGCGATCACGTTCAAAAAATCGATGACGCAATGCATGCGCAGAGGCCTGCGCAGTGCGTTCGCTGACATCCCTACTCCAGTGGTTTTATATATCATAAGTTATTCATAACAAAACCTGCACAGTAGCGCTAGGGAATTGAAGCTGAGCTAAACTGCCGCCGGGCACACACTGTTATTTGATTCTTGTGAAAACTCACCGAGAGTAGCATAGCGAACGTTGTGCAAGTCAGCCTCCAGAACCTCTTTGCGATTGCCGGCCTTGCGCCGCGAAAGGAAGATAGCCTCATTGAAGGTGCGGTCTGTCAGCGCTCGGCGCAGCTTCGTACTGTGCTCTTCCGGAATCTGCAGCTCCTGCAGTGCAGGCTGGATCTGCTTGGTGAACTGCTCCCTGCAACGGGCAGTGTTCAGATATTCCCAATACACGCCCGAGACAACACAGATGCCAATACACCCACATACACACCCACACACACACCACACCACACACACACACACATCATGTACCATCATGTATACGCCTGCCGCAACAGAAGCATGCAAATCTGCAAATGCACCGGATGTGCACCCACAGATTTTCTCTTATGGCATTGATAGCGGACAAGGTGTGAATGAGACAGATCAAGACTAGCGCCAGATAACTGTCCAATCCACACAACCTGCGAAGCCATGTGAATCGATCACCGATGCACATCTGGTCTACACCACACGGAGTACATTGGCATAAAACGGCCAAGACAGTTATCTATGCACACCCTACACTTGCTGGGGTAACCAGTATAGACAGCACGTGCTTTGATAGAAGCAGACACTAGATGCACTGGTCCCTTGAAGTGAAATTGGAGTTACACACACACACACACACACACACACACACACACACACACACACACACACACACACACACACACACACGCACACACACACACACTCATACCTTTGGACCTTTGGAAGCCCATCGCCAAAGGCGATGCTAGCTACACACTCATACACACACACACACACACACACACGCACTCATACACACATAGGAGTGCTGAGTACCAGACTGCGACCGATAAAACTCTGACATGTCGTCATCAAAGGTACAGAGTACATGATCCAAAGACACTGGCTTCTGGGTACGAGATACCTGCATCCCATCAACTGGTTGGAACGCGCTCTGCCAGGCCAGAACTTACAGTTTACGAGCACACTAGATATACTTATAGCAGCCTCTCGCGCCCCCCCCCCCCCCGTACACACATACAGAGGTCTACAAAAAGAAGCGCACAAGTACGTGATGACGGGTTCATGGTAAGACTTGCTAGCATTTTCTCCTGGTATCGGATTCGGGTAGTTTCCACGGGTACCCGATCGGGTACTGTTTCCATGGTAACACCACAATGCACCCCTTCCCTTACACACTGGGTAGACATGCGGGGAGTATTACATGAATTACGTACACGTGCACTGTAGGTCTACATGATGTCATCTGCGACTTCGGGTTTTCGGGTACTATTCTGTACCCGTCTACCCGAGGTCCTCATGGGTAGCACGGGTACTCGACTACCCGTGCACACCACTAGTTATACTGTTGTTACTACTACTACTACTACTACTACTACACACACGCATGCATGCACACACATATATACACACACACACACACACACACACACTACTACTACTACTACTACTACTGTAGCTTGGTTGCCACAAGGGCCACACCACTCCGAAAGGAGCCAGAGTCATTGTCAGGAGCAGAAACGGAGATGACGACTCAGGTCACTCTGTCGACGGAACTGGCGGTTGCAGCGAGAACTGCGAACACCATACGACGCTCTATCAGACTTGGTTGCTCGATGGCCACGGTCGCACTTGTGACGTCTGAAACCAGGCACTGACTTGAATTGCCGATTGCATGTCACACACAAGAGAGAAGCTGGGACGTTGAGCGGAATAGGTGATGCCGGCGCGGACGCTTCCGATGGTTCCAGGGGCAAACAATGATGTACACGCAAGCCACCACGAGAGTGAAACCACCTCCTGCATGTACCACACTGCACAGCACCACGCTGCTCCTGGATGGGGAGACTTCGCTCTGCGCTACACTTGTGTCTTGCTTTGTCACCTGGCCGACGAAACGAACGGTGGCAGATAAGACAGTCCACCCGTTGAGATTGGTCATGGGAAGGACCGCCGAGGCTCGGCCCAACGACAGACACCCGCCAGGCAGACCGATCCTGAGCAATCCCATACCAAGCCAGATGTTCAATGCCGATGTGCCAAAGATCAGCCGAAATCACATCCCTCCAGCGACGACGGGGACCACACGCAGGCCGAGGCGACGGTAGGAAGCCAAACAACAGCTGCTTGGGCACACGAACATCCGACATGCGGGCCACATGGCCAAGCCATTCAAGCCTCCGCTTCTGAAGCCGGGAGGACAATAGCGATGGATCACCCCACATCTCTCGGAGCTGCTCATTGGTGATGAGCACACACACACACACACACACACACACACACACACACACACACACACACACACACACACACACACACACACACACACACACACACTCTCTCTCTCTTCCGAATACAAATTACAGCCGACCTACATGTATAACGATATTTACATCAGAAGAAGAAATATCGTTATACGGTGATAATGTTGCAGGCGTGTTGTGTGGTATACACGCGTTACAGAGCCATAGGAATACGGTGGGAGGCTGGTCCTGTGGATGGGCGAACGTGTTTATTGTCTGTCTACTAGTAGTACATGTACATGTGTGGGTCGTATTACTTGCATTTCTTACCCTGTTGGCACGTTCAGACCACCTGCTGGAGAGGTGGTGACATCACGCACATCTACAATCTCAGGTGTAACGGTCTCCTCCACGGCGGAGCTGCATAGCCGGCGGGGCAGCACCGACAATGAGCTACATCCTATATAGCACACAGTAATTACACCGATCGTTTGGATTTCAGCAAATATTATTATGCCAGCACTGAAGTTTGACGAACTTCTATCATTCTTTGTTTGTTTTTACCTTGGAAAGGTAGAGCAAATGACCTGGCAGCCGCACGCAAAGGACACGCCATTGTGGATAGAAAATCAGCTTCAGTAGATAGTCCCTCTCAACATCTAGCAGATTGAAAGCTGAAATAATTCAAGCCAACTTCAGTTCAGAGTTAATTTTTCAATTATTTCTTTTTCTCTTTATTGCAGACCGCGCATTATCGCGATCTGCTGTGTTCATTCTTTGAGATTTTTTGCGATGAACTCTGAACTGGTACGCGGTACGCGGGCCCGGGCTCTGAACGCCATTTCTAGTTGGCATAGTTACATGAGATATACATAATCCTACACAGTTGCGAGGGCATGATGCTCTGATCAGGCCCGAGGTCTGTGAGTGATCTTGCCCGAGGTCGCGACGCCCAAGGGGCGTAGCCCCGAGGGCGTCGCGACCGAGGGCAAGATCACTCACATGACCGAGGGCCTGATCAGAGCGGCATGCCCGACGCAACTGTGTAGGATTGCGCTTCAGACAAGGCCCACCTCACAAACGACAAGGCCCAGTACAGTAGAGAGATTCAAACAGAAAGAAAGCCTTGACGGCAAATGAGTTGATGTCACATTGTGTGCAGTGACCATCACAAACAGTTATTTGTTTGGTCGGGACTTTCCAGTTTTGAGATGAAAGTATTCAAGTACAGTGAAGGCAGTAGTAACGTTAGTACCAGTAATATGACGGATTCGGAATAAACCCGACCTTCGAGTTAGGTGATTGCCAGAGTAAGGTTCAAATGCGAGTGCTGAGAAGCTGCAGCCTTAGGGCAGGTACAAAATGTACTTGTGGAGGTCTGCTTCCCTTGTGTACGTTTCGCCGCGAGAAACAGGACCGGCTGCAAGGTCGGTTGGCGTTTCTGGTCTCCCTGCAGACGTTCAAGACAGTAGTGAGTATATAATAATTTTGGAGAAGGGAGACAAATTTTTAGTCCTCGTCGGAGATGTTGCCCAAGGCAAGGACTTCGAAAAATGGTAAATGCGCATGTGCGGCGCGATGCTGTACGACTGCTGTTCTTGACCGGCTAAGCGGTCAAGATCGACTGATCTTGACTGCTTATTCTGGCCGCTCATTGGCCATCTCCTGGCAACAAGCACGTGCCATGTCTGAAAACATGATATCGCTGGATCACGTATGAGCCGTGTGTACAAAAATAGAGTAGAGTCTACACTGGTCTACGCGCCTGTGTGCAGAACCGCGGCATGTGTGTGTTGAGCCTTGAGGTTTTGTGCGTCAACATGCGAGGCATCCAGCTGATCTGCTGAGCGTGAGCGACCCACACACACGCTGCACGCGATACAGCTGCACTGCGCTATACCACTAGTTCTAGTGTAGTTGCTCCATGCACACAAGAAAACTCAAACCAAAACAAAGCTGAGAAAAAATAATTGGAGGGCTGAAAAGTATTATTGAAGGTGGAATGTTCATAGTAAGTTTGAATGTTACCAACGTCAGACACATCGCAAATTCCAGGATAGAACCGTCTGCAGTTCTGTATTGGCCTGGAATTCAGCTAGAATCTTGTGGCAGGAGCGGAAAGTGTTCGTCGTGCCACGTTCGTAGCTGTTTGAAAAGCTTTTGTTCTCATACAAACGTTTCCAAAAAAAAAGAATTTACCTTTGAGAGGAGCGTTGAATACACCGTGTATTTCCGTTGCATTCCGAATGGAATGAGGTTGTTAATCGGACATGATGTGTTGGATATAAGGCGATGAGTATTGAACATGCCCGGAGCGGTCCTGTCGCAATGGAAACGGCTGTGTTGGAGAGGTGTGATGCCAATTTGTCGTCGCAGCCTGCTGATTTGAATTGTGCAATTGAAAAACAGTCACAGGAGCCATTGATACAGACATCTGAGCAACAACAGCAGCAGCAGTCCGTAGGAGCAGTAGTGGCAGCAGCAGCACAGCATGCTCCCCAACAGCAGCAGCAGCAGTCCACAGCAGGAGCAGGCGATGCTCACCAGCATCACCAGCAATATCAGTCCATAGCAGCAGCAATGCAACGTGCTCCCCAACAGCAACTGCGCCGGCCGTCAACAACAGCAATAGCACAACATGCTTTCCAACAGCACCAACAGCAGATCCATCAGCAGCAGCAGCCGCCGCCACAGCAGCTCCAGCATCAGCAGCAGCTCCAGCATCAGCAGCTCCAGCATCAGCAGCAGCTCCAGCATCAGCAGCAGCTCCAGCATCAGAAGCAGCACCAGCAGCAGCACCAGCAGCAGCTCCAGCACCAGATCCATCAGCAGCAGCAGCTCCAGCAGCAGCAGCAGTCCATATCGGCGGTGGCAGCAGCAGCACACCATGCTCCCCGGCAACAACAACAGCAAGGAAAGGATAGTTCACCAGCAGCAGCAGCAGCAGGGCAAGCACCAACAACATCGTCACGCTCCGCATCAGCGTCGGTGGGTACTGGGATTGCTACTCGCCCTGTTGCTAGGCACACGGCTGCCACCCCTAGTGCTTCTTCACGGGAATGCGAGGAGATTCGACAGTTCAGTCTCGGCGCCGAGCTAGTGGCGTCACCTGGCAATGACATGACCCGGGCTGTGTCACCAAAGATGGCCCAGCAGCTTGGTGAGCTGATCGAGGATAGAGAAGTGAAGCTGGCGATCACAGATGAGCGCTATCAGAAGTGCTTGCTAGAGCTGTTGTTCTTGGATGCTGGCGGTGAAATGGTCGACTACCATCTTTGGCGTAAGCGCAAGAACCCGTATCGAGACACGTTTCTGGATCTGAATCCCATCGAGAACGAATCGTTTGAGTACAATCTGCCGCCCGACCCGGTGCGGACGCAGGGCCAGCCCACGCCATCCAGCTCCACAGCCGCTCACAGCAGCACTGCCGGCGCCTCTCGCACCCCGACGGCAACGAGCACATCGCAAGCGACGGCGACGACCACGCCGACTGTGGCGCCGATGGCTGCAGCAGCAGCAGCACCCCAGCCACCAGCGCCGCAGCCGCCGCCGCCGAAAGTGTCCCGTGGCCGTGCGCCCGACTCTCGCCCACGCATACACGCCTACACTGGCCCTGTGGCCAGGTCGCGCAAGGACCGTGAGAGCAGCGGCTCGCGTAGCGGCTCACGCGTGCGCTCTCCGCTGGCCTCACCAAAGTCACCGCAGTCGGGCGCCACGAGTCTGGTTTCCTCTCCAACGCACACAGGTAACTAACTACGAGATGGCATGCCACTGTTATCTCCTGATAACCAAGACTTTGCTTTATTGTGTAGAGCGGTACCGCGCACAGTGTAGAAGATGATAAATAATAATATGTGACAGGTCGCGTACAACATGCATTGACACAATCGGTATGAGATTATTCTGCAACACATTATTGTGTTGAGCTGACCTGCGAATCCACGGAATGGCAGTAGTAATTTGTCAATGTTTCCCGCAGAGCTGTCCGACTACTGATCGTAGTGGGATTGAGAGCAGCTCGGTGAACGCCAATCGTCTCGCGTCAAAGAAATAATTATGAGCAGCACTGTAGCAGTTGAACTCGGATGGCGAGCCAATTAAATTATGGTGAGAAAGGAGAAGGACAAAATGTTGCTGACTGTGTACGATCTGGTTACGTTGGTGGACAGTTAGTCATAACTCGTAACATTTTGTCCTTTTCCTTTTTCACTGTAGTAATTGTGCAGTATTGTACATATACTGTACAAGCAGAAATATTCGTCTGGAATTTAACTTCGTCTTTTTCGTCCAACGAGCTGTTGGACTAAATTAAATGCCGGACTAATATTGATTTGTCCAGCTTTTCAATACACTCTTATGATCCATGGACGAAATTTACAACCGGACGAACCCCCTTTCTTTGGAGTTGGACGAAATTATTGACCGACGAAATTTTCTGCTTATACAGTATGTATCCAGTGACACATGTAAGTGAACCGGCACGCATGCACACATGCGCACGCGCACACACGCACACACACACACACACGCACGCCTGTTCGTGCCGCTGTTCATTTTCCGCACCCCCTCCCGCTCTCTTTTCTCCTTGCATTCGTTACTGCACAGGCAGCACCAGCAGCAGTCATGGTGGTCCAGTGTCGCCACCACTGGAGCAGCAGGTCACCAGCAGCACCATCAGCAGCACCAGTAGCACCACCAGCAGCAGCACCAGCACCGGCATGCGCAGCCAGCACAAGTGGGTGGAGAACATGGAGATGACGATGACGCACGGCTCGCAGGAGATTGCCGAGCAGGCCAAGCACGAGGCCGACGTGCGAGTGCGCATGGAGGCGCTGCAGAAGGACGGCCTCTGGTCGGCCATGCGCACCAGTCCCGTCGACGAGCCCGCGAGGCCGAAGTCCCACTGGGATTTCCTGCTGGAGGAGATGGAATGGCTCGCCGGCGATTTCATGAAGGAGAGACGCATCCGATCCTCTTGGGCACGAAAGGTAATATATTCCTGTTTGTTTCCTTTCTGTTTTGCATGGATGCAGTGAATGGGATCTTCGGTCTTTGACCACTTTCCTGGTGGGCTGATCTACTCACCTCCCACCGCTTTATGAGATGTATCTGCGCCTTTGATCTTTGCAGGGTGGTGGCGTTCCTACGGGTGTTGAAAACTCAGTCTAACTCAGTCTCAAGCGAACCGTGAATTGTTGTTTTTTTTTCTTTTTTCTGGTGGAACCCAATGTTCTATTTTTTTTTAAATCTTTTCTTTGTAGTGGAGGTGGGGTGTGAGTTGTTATTTGTGCCTGGACTAACTAGCAGTGTAGGGGCACGGAATATTTGTAATCCGAGTGAATTGTCAAGGTCTTGTTTCGTTCGTTCAGACTCGATTATGTTGTAAATGGCAAACGCTGCGCACTGTAAAGGACTAAGGGTGCAGGCTTGCTTATCTGCTGTGAAGGCATGTTGTGTGGAATGCACACGACTTTGTTGTACAAGTTCTGAACAGCGTATTACACCATGGTACTTCAGTCGTGGCACTGTCCTCCGCGGCGAGAGTTGGATTTTACTTTTCAACAGCAGTTACTACTGTAGAGAGGCGCTACGCACACTGTGTCCCCCAAACGCCCATTGTGCATTGCCAAATATGGAAGGTATGAGTAATGCATGTGAGTACGCTGGGATCAGCAATGCACTGTTCAACACCCCCAGGCGACCATGCCCGGGTGGCTGTGTGAGGAGGTATGGTACAAATCATGGCATTGTGCAATGGGCTCATTCCCTGTGCTCTGTTCTGCAGCTGTCCAAGGCAGTGCTGCGCCACCACAATGAGAAGGCCACCCGGCAGCAGCGCATTCGCAAGGAGAGCCAGGCCAAGCTGCGGCGCATAGCCAGCGGCATGGCCAAGGACGTGCGCGGATTCTGGGGCAACATTGAACGGGTAAGCACCATGGTGTCTTGTATTAAAGCCTATCTCGAATAGAAGCCTGTTTTGAATACCAGCCTGATTTTCAAGATACACTGTCGGCACACAAGCCTGGTTTTAGTGTTGACACACATAGAAATACCTGGTTTGAATAGAAGCCTGACGTGGATAGAAGCCTAGCCCTGACATCGGTAGTAGAGTGGTGTTCACATCAGTTTGTCATGTGACTAAATTTGTGCAGAAAGTGATCATGTCATGTGGACAGTGAAACCAACATGGCCACCGACATCATGTGACCCATAGGTGCAGGCAGGGTTTGTGTGGAGTTGGAACTTGGAACCAACATGGCTGTCCCGTATGGTCATGTGACAGCTGATGTAGATAGGTACTGTAAAACCGGAAAGTTTAACGACCATTTTTTTGTTGTATTTTTGGCACGACAGTGTGCAGAACGTTTAACGATGGCTACCTGGTCACCCATCTCTGTATGCGCATCTTTACACAGACATCTAGCGATAACGTTTCTTCGAATAACGAAAAAAAATGATCGTTAAAACGTTAGACTTTCCGGTTATACAGTAGGTACGTTTTGATTTGAATTTGCAGAACCAAACGGGCGCTGTCGCCCAATTACATGGAAGCGAATGGAAACAAATACATTCTTGTAGAACATAGCCTAACACGATAGCAGGGTGTAGTACAAAGCAAAGAACGCTCAGTCAATGAATACCGTTAGAACGAAACACAGGGGAGGCGGTAGGCAGCACGCGACTGGTACTGTGGAGGACCGCAAGCGTTCAAAGGTACATATTAAGAGTTCGGGCATCCTGGGTGCTCACCGGAAAACTGATGTTGGCAGCTCTTGGGGAGAATACTTGAGCGTGTGGATTTAAAGACGCTATAGCAGTGAAAAGTAATAAGTAGTAAGAGAAAGAACAATCATGAATGAGCAGAAGCCATTCCTTACCGGTTATTGGCTTCCTCGCCGTCTCCTCACACGTTGCGCAAGGCGGTGCATCTCTTTTTCAGATGCCTCATTTGCCCATGCGATTTGAGGGTCTAACGCCAGAGGGTCTAACGCCAGGACTCTTGCGCTGAACGTATGCTTGCCGGATGCACGGATAAAGTAAACCCTTCGTCATCAGGTGATGGGTGACACCCCTTCCCGCGAGAGAGCGGAGATGCCAGCACTCCATGCGTGGCCTTTGGTTCTGGGTTGTTGGCGTGGCGACTGGTGCAGAATAAGCTGCTCACCGTACAGGTATCTTAGAAACCCTTGGTTGCTGCTTGTCGCTGTGCTGCTGCTGCTGTTGTGCGTCTGTGCCAGCGGTAATGTCCGCAGACGCCACTTGCTGCTGCGTGTCGTTGCTGAGGCCAATTTCCGGACTGGCGGTTTTCTCCCAGCCACGTTTCTTTCCCTTCGTACTCAGTACGGGGCACTCCCTTGCCTCGTGGCTTGACTTGTTGCAGTGCCAGCACGTTTTAGCCTGTCCTTTGTGCCATGTACACACCTTCAGCTGGCCGACTGCTACACACGAAGGTACGACTGTACGCAGCACAATAGTGACGTACTTGGTGCCCGTTTTAGTTTCGAAATTCTCAACCTGAATTTTTCCTCGCCAAGGGACCCCCATCACTGAGCCAAATTTCAGGAATGAGGCAACAACAGCACTATCCGACTGGGAATGGGGGCATCCAAATACATATACGCTGACAACGTCAGCGCCACTGATTGTTACTTGAACGGGCTTACCAGCAACAGAGATGCCTTTGGAAAGCATACGATCTCGAAACGCCAGGCTTGAAACAGTTACTGAGCAAAATGCACGACGGCCGTGGAGGTCGATTTGCCGGATGTCAGAGACCGTAATTCCGCTACTCATCAGATTTCTCTATGTAGAACAGGTGCTGGCTTGGCCAGTCATCTTCAAGTTTGAAGGTAAATGCAGCAGAGATCGCAGCTCGGTTTTGACCTCCCGCCTCCATTTTTGAAATAAACAAAAAAAATGTGAAACCACTCTATTATTTAGTATTAGTTGGAACGGCAGCAAGACCAGGAAGCTGCTTCTCAGCAATAAGCCCATTGCGCATTGCCAAACGTATGGATGGTATGAGTAATGCATGTGAGTACGCTGGGATCAGCAATGCACTGTTCAACACCCCAGACGACCATGCCCAGGTGGCTGTGTGGGGTGTTTATGGTGCAAATTACGCCATTACGCAATGGGCTTATCCAGAGGCATTTGGTCATCTTCAATCTGAATACAGGTGGAATCCTGATAATTCGAATATGGCTTATTCGAACATACCGCGTAATTAGAACTTTTTGCAGGCCCGGTTTCTATCATTACGATTCCCACATAAACAAATTCTGATAATTTGAACCTCGAACTGGACGTGTCCGGTTCATTAGAAGTCCCACGGATTCCAATTCCATAGAAAATGTGTGGGATTTGTGCTGATAATTCGAAGTTAGCAAAGTGTAATTCAAAATTCACTATACACTGTACTGGTCAGTTCAGTTTGCATGAGCAGGCTGTGCCGGTCAGTTCAGTATCCGTGAAATCTGTGTCTAAGGTCTATAGCGCAGCTCTGCGTGACCATGAGAGCATTTTGACATACATATTGTGTTGTGGGTGCATGTTTGGATAAATAGAATATCCGGATAATCAGAAGTTTTTTCCTGACATTAACGTGTGCATGGTGTCATGATGATGTCATCCGTAAAACATGTTCCTGGACCGAATCGTCCGAATGGGTGCTTTCAAGAGACCGGTCGTCGTTGGTGCTCTGCCGCTCTGCACGAAACAGTGCAGCACCCATTTCCTCCGACAGGTTTGTACGCACCTCGTCACTGTGCTCCTGGTCCATGGCGGGACGGGACAGACAAGTCACTGCTGTTTTTTTTGTTGGTGTCCTGATGGTATGCTCTGTGTATGGCCCAAGTCTCAAAGCCATGGTATGCTCTGTGTATGGCCCAAGTCCCAAAGCCATGGTATGCTCTGTGAATGGCCCAAGTCTCAAAGCCATGGTATGCTCTGTGAATGGCCCAAGTCCCAAAGCCATGGTAAACTGGGTATGGCCCAAGTCCCAAAGTCATCGTAAACTGTGTATGACCTAAGTCCCAAACCATTATAAGCTGTTGATGGCCCAAGTCCCAGAGCCATTATAAGCTGTGCGTGGCGCAATGCACCATACCCAGGTACTTATACAGTTCACAAGTCTACCGACAACTCTGAAAGGACCAGTGCTGGCGTGTACGGGTAAGGGGCCGTCCGGGGTTACCGATTGTTTTTACAAAACGAAGTTTTAGTATTTTTCAGCCCCCACCCACCCACCCACCCACCTTTTCTGCAGGTAAAACGAATTCCAATAAAATATTGATGTCAATTTTCGACACCCAGAAGTAACTGGGCATTCTTCATCAGCATTCAATAATTATTTTCAAAACGAAACTCCATCAAACCCACCCACCCACAAACGAAAACATTTCGTTTTGAAAATATTATTGGTAACCTTGGACGGCCCCTAACACGTCAACGGGAGAATTATTTCCAAGTTTTCTGTGTATCGTCTGCATATCACTGATTGGCTTGTTGGCTGGCTACTCTATTCCTACCCTCCCTCAGGTTCTGAAGTACAAGTACGATCGTTTGAACGACGCTCACCGCCAGGAGGCATTACAAGAGCAGCTGAGTGCTGTCATGGATAAGACGGAGCAGTACTCGTCCTGGCTAGCAGAGGATCTAGATGCAGCCAACACCAGCAATACGGAGTACAGTAAGCAGAGCTTTCCACAGAGAGGCGAAAGACGCTCAACTCCACCGTGCATTTTGTTGGTGTTTGGTGGGTGGGGAGGGGATGTGGTGGGTGCGTGCACGCATGCGGATGGGCGCGCATGTGTGTGTGGTGTGTGTGTGTGTGTGTGTGTGTGTGTGTATGTGCAGGGGTAGACGTCAACCCTCTATTATTCAAGTATTTCATGGTGTACTACATTGTACATGCCCTGGTGCTTTTATCTGTACTGCAGCGGAAGTTTCTCTCTCTCTCTCTCTCTCTCTCTCTCTCTCTCTCTCTCTCTCTCTCTCTCTCTCTCTCTCTCTCTCTCTCTCTCTCTCTCTCTCTCTCTCTCTCTCTCTCTCTCCTCCCTCCCTCCCTCCCTCCCTCTCTCCCTCCCTCCCTCTCTCTCTCCCTCCCTCCCTCTCTCCCTCCCTCTCTCCCTCCCTCCCTCTCTCCCTCCCTCTCTCCCTCCCTCCCTCTCTCCCTCCCTCTCTTCCTCTCTCCCTCCCTCCCTCCCTCTCTCCCTCCCTGCTTAGTTTGTTGCGCCTATTTTATTTTTTGGTGTTGTACTAAGGTATGGATGTTACAACGGAGGATGGCGGTGATACCAGTCGACTGTCTTCGGCATTCCCATCCGAACTCGACTCTGATGGCTCCACAGGGCACCGGCGCCGTTTATCAGGTACAGCGACCCATTTAAGTTCCTTTATCTCATGCTGTCTCTCTTTCTGGCCAAACTGCCATTCTATAATGGTTCACTGCAGAGTCTTTCTGCACTATTCTTCTTAGCCTTTTATTGTTGTTTATGATGCCTGCTTCAATTTGCCCAGTAAATATTTTCTAGTCATATTCAGTGGTTCTGTACATTCATGTTGAAAGTCATTTTAATGGTCTCTCTCTCTCTGTCTCCCTCTCTCTGTCTCCCTGTGGCTCGTCTCTTGTCTCTCTCTCTCTCTCTCTCTCTCTCTCTCTCTCTCTCTCTCTCTCTCTCTCTCTCTCTCTCTCTCTCTCTCTCTCTCTCTCTCTCTCTCTCTCTCTCTCTCTCTCTCTCTCTCTCTCTCTCTCTCTCTCTCTCTCTCTCTCTCCACACACCCCCAGCAGGAATGTCAAGCAGTAAAGGTTCTTCTGAAGCTGGCGAGGCTGATGTGTTTGAACCCGACGCAAACAGTGACGACGATGATGACGAAGAGACTATTCTTGCAGCTAATGCCAACGAGGTGAGTTGCGTGTGCATATGCATTCCGATGCACATGGATCGGTTGCCTGGCCATCAGTTGTTTTTGTTAGTAGCTAGCTGATTGATAATGTATTAATGAGCCATTGATACAACACTGTTGTAGCAGGTGCACACAACAGGAATAGTGTAGAATGGAAGTGTTATGAACCCTACCAGACCTAACTATGACAAGTTCTAAGTCAATCACAATGAGAAGGAGAGGTACACACGAATAGGTTGCGCTAGTTTACACGTCACAAAGAGTACTGAGGTGGTGACAAAGAAGGGTAAAAAGTAGACGCCAAGTGAAAGCCAACAAATCATCACGAACGTCTAACGTCACACCTGAAGGTTGCTAACTACACAAGACAAATACTTCACGAACCTCGAAAATTGAAAATTCAGTCGACGGTAGGTGAAAGGAAGGCTGATGGGGTGTGACATAGGCGAGAACTGTGGGTTGCTGACTTAGCACTTGTGATAGTTATGTCTGGTAGGGTTCATAACACCTCCATTCTGCACTATTCCTTTTGTGTTGATTTGTCGCATTTGTGAGTTAGTTGAGTGTTCACACCTTGCACTGGTATCTTCTCTATAAAATAGCATTATTTAGCTTAATCCCTTCATTGAACAACTGCTTCTCCCCTGATGAGTTCCCGGTATCTTTATGGAACGAAACCAACCTTGTCAGGAGTACTACTACTTGCTTTCGTGGAGTGTGGCTGGTGGACTGTTCGTGCTGTTGTCTGCGAGCGTCGTGTGGTCTCGTCGGGTGAAATGAAAAACCTATTACTATCCACTGTGCCACATAGAAACTTAGAGAGCGTCAATCGCAAGGAGACTGACGTGACGCGTCTGTTAAGGCTGGCGTATGTATGCACATGGTGCTGGAATTATTAAGGAAATTGTGCGGAATAAGTCAATCTATAAGAAAAGAGGACCAAAGAGCTACAAGTTACTTTAGAGTATCCACTAACACCATCTTTTCTTCTTATAAATCTAACTCTGGCGTAACTTTGTCTCATGTAGCTGCACTATTGTGATTGGCATGTTTATAGTTTTATGCCGATGTGAATACTGCCGTGGCCTCATTTTTGTTGTGTGTGCGTGCGTGTGTGTGCGTGTGCGTGTGTGCTCGCACTCCAGGATGAGTCTGCAGTTGCGGACGAGGTGAATGAGCTGTGTCGTGAGAGTGAGATGCCACTGGACGACTTCTTAGGGCAGCATGTGCCTCTGGACTATCTGGAACAGCGGGAGAAAATGCTCCAGGACGAGATCGCAAACGCCTCCGAGTCTTGCTCAAGCTATTCGGATGATTCGTCAGACGACGATGACGACGACGACGATGACGAGGATGATGACAGTGACGAGGATGATGATAATAGTGATGTTGCCTCAAGTGAAGGTGCGAATAGCAGCGATGTTGGAAAGGTGACGGCACCGCATGCTCACTTTCCCGATACCGATCCGTCCTCGGCTGCTACCGCTGCAGCATCGCTGTCGCCCAGAGGCCGTCGTCGCCAGCAGCAGCAGCAGCGGTGTAGTCCATCACCATCGTCGTCATCCGCCGGGGGTGGACTGCGTCAATCTTCACGTCGACGTGCTCATCAGTCTGAGGCGTCTTCACGCAGCGCCACGGAGAGCGAGGAGGCGTCCGTGTCCACATTGGAGGCAGTGTCGACCGTAGACTCTCTGCTTGCAGAGCCCGTGAAAGGTCAGTGCTGCAACGTCTGTATTCCCCTGTCAGCCATGTTGCAGTGGCAGTTTGCGTGTGGATACGGCGGTGTGTTGTTGTTTTGCTAACTTCAATACGTTTAGTTTTCAGGTGCAGTTTACGCTGCCGATCAGTGTACGTATACCCTCGTACTTGTGTGGTGCGTGTACTAGTGTATGCTGTGCTTGAGTTGCAGTGTTCCTGTAGCTCTGTGAAGCGACCGGATCATCATGACATCTAATGCACTGTGTTCACTTTCTCTTTTTCTTTCTCCTCTCTCTCTCTCTCTCTCTCTCTCTCTCTCTCTCTCTCTCTCTCTCTCTCTCTCTCTCTCTCTCTCTCTCTCTCTCTCTCTCTCTCTCTCTCTCTCTCTCTCTCTCTCTCTCTTAATCCTGGCTTGGCTTTGCAGAAGGTGATGATGAGTTTGATCCGGAGGAGGAATCTGAAGCCAGTGACGACGAGAGAACAATTTTACGTGAAGAAGCGCGTCAGGTTAGTTATTGCCATTCTTGAGAATGTGCTCGACTGCCATGTATTGACCATTAGCCACTCTCATGGATCGCCTCGCGCCTTTGCCCCCCCCCCCTCCCCCTTCTCTCTCTCACTCACTATCTCCCCTCCCCTTCTCTCTCTCACTCACTATCTATCTATCCATCCATCCATCCATCCATCCATCCATCCATCCATCCATCCATCCATCCATCCATCCATCTCTCTGTCTCGCCCTCTCTCCCTATTGATCTGTTTCCCCTGTGTGTTGTTGTATGCCTTAATCGTTTCCAGGATGCAGCCTTAGTTGCCGCCGAGGTTGATGATCTTCAACGGGAGAGTGAAATGCCGCTGGACGACTTTCTCATGTCCATACCGGCCGATTACCTGGAGCAGCGGGAGAAGATCTCCATTGCCGGTGCCGGTGTTTCCGAGAGTGACTTGTCTTCGTCGGCTGGAGAGTATGGCAGTAGCAGTGCTAGCAGTAGTGATGAGTCGCTCAGCAGCAGTGGTGGTGATGACGACGAGGACGACAATGACCAACAGACCAGCGGTGCAGATCAGCAGCGGCGCCGCCATCGCCGCAGCAACAACGGACGACACCATCACGCAGAGCTGGCCTCCTCGGCCGCATCTTCACTCGCCCTGCGCCGCTCCAGGCGCTCAACTCGTGGCACAGCAGTAGTAACAGCAGTAGCAGCTTCACAGTCACCATTGTCAGCATCAGATGTAGCCACTGACGGCAACAGCACGTCGTTACCACCATCCTCACTGACCACCGACATTGATGGTGAGTGGGCTTAAGTTAGACCTGTCACTATTACTGTGGAATGTACTCCAATTATTTTCGGTGCTCAATATTTTCGGTACGACGGCAAAAGGCCAGGTTAGGTGAACAGAAAATTTAGGTACAGAGGAGCAGTTCCCTATTGGATTACGTGTGTTTGTTCGGTGTGTTGAAATTTTAGGTATTAAACAGATGCACCGAAAGTACCGAAAATAAAAGTACACCGAAAATTTGTGAAATTTCAGTATGCCTTGAATGTACCCGCATCACCCTGGTGCGGCTATGGAAGCCTTGGCATATTACCGGTGGTCTGCTAGTCAAGAAGTACGTCTGAACAATAGCCAAATGCATGTATTTCTTTGGAATTTTTGCTGCTCATCTGTGGATTGGCCTTGACCATTATTCTACTTAATGTCCGTGGCTTCAAAAAAAGGAATTGTGTGTGTGTGTGTGTGTGTGTGTGCGTGTGCGTGCGCGCGCGCGCGCGCGTGTGTGTGTATGTGTGCGCGTGCGTGCGTGTGTGAGCAGGAGGCGCTGGTGATGATGTTAACGACGTGTTCAATCCAGACGAGTGCTCTGACGATGAGGATGATGACGAGAGCACAATACTGCTAGAAGTCAAACGCCAGGTCAGTACGCTCATGCACTCTAAAGCCACAGGTCAGTACGCTCATGCACTCTAAAGCCACAGAATGTGCAGTTGCCTGTCGCCAGTCTCTCCGGGAGCGTGGGTTTGAATCCCACCGCTGCCACCAGGTTATGTTGGGCCTGCAAGCCACGCTGGAGTCCATTGTGGTACAACGCAAGGACTGGTTTATGTACAGAGCATGTGCATTATTGTACAGATCAGAGAGAGACAATATGGAGAGAGACAATGCTGAGAGAGACAATATGGAGAGAGACAATATGGAGAGAGACAATGCTGAGAGAGACAATATGGAGAGAGACAATATGGAGAGAGACAATATGGAGAGAGACAATGCTGAGAGAGACAATGATGTTGCGGACACTATACGCTGCACTATCTCTCTCCAGTGCTGCAACAGCAGCGTTTCACATCTCGCATGGCATCATGGTTCAACAGGTTACACTGGCAAGCAGTCAAGAGGTGACCAACAGAGAGTTGTACCCAAGCCAAGGCAGGGTTGTCTGTGTGTTGTGTCTTGTGTGTATGTGTGTCGCAGGAAAAGTCCGAGATTGATGAAGAAGTCAACGAACTTCAGCGTGAGAGTGAGATGGCTCTGGATGACTTTCTCACCTGCATTCCCGAGGACTACTTGAAGCACCGAGAAGCACTTCTGTCGTCTGTGTCCATGCCAGCTTCTCCTGCGTTGATAGGTATGTTACCCCCCCCCCCCCCCCCCACAAAACACAATACAGACACGCACACGCTCGTGCAAGCGCGCGCACACACACACACACACACACACAGAGTCCTACTCATTCACGTACCAGCTCCCGCCCCACTTTTGTCTCTCTGTGCTTGTTTCCCCGATGAGCGATATCACTATTTCTGACTTTCCCTAGATCCGTGTATACTCTCCTCATGGATAGTACTGTACACCGTTCAATATTCGCTTCACTCAATTTTTCGCTGTTTCTCAAAACCACCAAGTTTCCGTTGGAAAATGGTCACAGAGCATGGTGACCACACTCATACACCCACTGTTTGGATTTTTGCGAATTTCAAAGTTTGCTATTCGGTGCCTCTTGCAAAATCGCAAACGTCTCCTTGTCGCAAGTGTTGCCAGTTTCGCAATATTCCGTTCATGTTCTAATTCTGTGTGTGCTGGCCATACTACTGTGTGTGTGTGTGTGTGCGCGCACGCGTGTGTGTGTGTGTGTGTGTGTGTGCGTGCATTCGTGTGTTCGTGCGTTCGTGTGTGTGTGTGCTTTCGTGTGTTCGTGTCTGTGTGTGCTTTCGTGCGTTCGTGTGTGTGTGTGTGCGTGTGTGTGTGTGTGCGTGCGTGTGGTCGTGTGTCTTAGGTATGAGACCTTGTGAAGTTCAGTCACGCGGTGAGTCCAGTGATCGTTGCATTGCCGGTGGTAGTGACGGTTACAGTGACGGTAGTGAGGGAAGTGGCAGTGATAGTGACACCGTGGCATCGCTTTTCTCACCGTCTTTGCCAGATGCCAATGCTCGTCACCAGCCCGTCGCACTAGGAACAGGTAGGCTATTCTTGAAAGGATCTATGGATGCTGGGCGGCTTAGTGCCCACTGCGTCTGTTTTTGCTGTTGTAAATTTTACCGTTATTGTATGCGCATGTCCGCTTGTGTGTGTGTATGTGTGTATGTGTGTATGTGTGTGTGTGTGTGTGTGTGTGTGTGTGTGTGTGTGTGTGTGTCTGTCTGTGTGTGTGTAATTGTGCGTATGTGATTGCATTTGTGAGTGTGTGTGTTTGTGTGTGTGTTTGTGTTTGTATGTGTGTTTGTGTGCGTTTGTGTGTGTGTGCGTGTGTGTATGTGTCAGCCTTGCAAGCTGTTGAATGGTGTAATCCCAGCACAAGTTGCTGTGTCTAACATAGCTGTTCGCTATCATCGCTTCCACGATGGGCAGGTCTGAGGTCTGAGAGGTGTATGTGTGTGTTGCATAGTAATTCTGTTTTTCTCACAGGCTATCCCGGTAATGCACCTTTCACATGTGTCTGCCTGTTTGTATCGATATCTGTGTGTTTCCTTTCAGATGTTGTTGGTGAGGTGAGGTCGTCACGTCGTGGTATGAAGAGGGTACGGATACACGACTCGCGTGCCTCTAGCAGTGGGGACAGTGACAACGAGACATCCTCGTCAACACCGGCACAGGTGCGCAAGTCTTCCCCTCCATCATCTCCGCCGCGGAAGGCCATGAGACGCAACGGTACAGTGCTGTTGAATATTACAGTTTTGTTGCTTGTCCATTTACTTTCGTCTGTGTGTGTGTGTGTGTGTGTGTGTGTGTGTGTGTGTGTGTGTGTGTGTGTGTGTGTGTGTGTATGTGTGTGTATTCTGGCTATTCTCTCCCCCCCCCCCCCCCCACACTCTCTCTGCTCTCTAGTGTCAGAGCGTTTTTCTGCTCGAACTGATGCTGATGCTGCTGAAAACCAAGTGCCCACCACATCTTGAGATAGCGGAATGAAATGCCTTTCATGCTCTCCGCCTAGCAATCACTTGACAGAAAAGTTTCACAAAGAAATTGTTCGATTGGGCAATTTAGTCCGCTTCATTTTGGTCTCTCCACTGTGTGTGTGTGTGTGTGTGTGTGTGTGTGTGTGTGCGCGTTTGTTTGTATGTGTGTGTACGTGTGTGTTTGTTTGCATGTGTGTGTACATGTGTGTACGTGTGCGTGTGTGGGTGTGTTTTCGGACGTGTTCTTGTCCACTTTCCTGTGTCCAGGGTCTGGAAAAGGAGGGGTGTGCAATCCTGTAAGTCTTCTGGTAGATATCACACTTTCTATCTAGTGTACTGTAGCTATTCTGCACCAAATAGCATGGTGCTACTACTACTGTACCTAGAATTAATTGAGCTAAACCTGGCAAACTACTCCGTGCATTTTCTACTCTCATCTAAGTTAGGTAAACACTTGTTTAAAGGCTGACCGTAGTGGCACATGGCTATTGTTTGTGTTATACGTGTGTGTGTGTATGTGTGCACGTGTGTGTGTGTGTGTGTGTGTGTGTGTGTGTGTGTGTGTGCACGTCTGTGTCTATGTGTGTATGTGTGTGTGCCTGTGCGTACACAGCCGGTGAATGGCAAGATTGAGTCTACTGGCAACTCGTTGGCCCTGTCTGCGATATCGTCCTACGCCTCGTCCACCGCTGCATCCTCTTCAGAAGTGTCTGAACAGAACAACACGGGTAGCAACAGAGAACGATCGTCCCCGATACGACGGACTTCACCGCGAAAGGCAGCCTCTGCCCCCACAACCGATTGTGAGCAAAGCACACCGTCATCTCCGAGCAGAGCTAATTTATCTTCTCCTTCAGCACCGGCGCACGGACAGCGAAATGGTCAAGGCGCTGTGGAGTCCTCCTTACCCGCTAAGGACAGTGCTGTCGATGGTGCTGATGGTCCTGACGATCAACTAGCGGCAGTGGCACGTGTGGCTGAAGAACTCCAACCGACCGGCTTTACGCTTTCCACGTCCAAGGTACGGTTGTGTGTGTGTGCGTGTGTTGTTGTTGTTGTTGTTGTTGTTGTTGTTGTTGTTGTTGTTGTTGTTGTTGTTGTTGTTGTTGTTGTTGTTGTTGTTGTTGTTGTTGTTGTGTGTGTGTGTGTGTGTGTGTGTGTGTGTGTATGTGTGCGCGTGTGCGTGTGTGTGTGTGCTGTGTTAGTTGTGTGGACGCGGACTGGCCGTTACATTCCGTGTGTATATTTTGTGACATACCTCAATGCCCAATGCTGTAGACAGCAAGCTGTTTCGGCCATAAAGGCCTCATCAGTACAGCTACGAGCTTTAAATAGACCAAGCTACACGCCATGGTGCAAAGGAGGCACCACAGACAGTAAGATGCTCATCGCTCTAGCGCCAGAGTGCTCAAACTACGAAAAGTAGCGGACAATACTTCTCTATAAAGTACCCTGGATATAACGGGTTTTTTTCTTCACTTTTGATGTACAGTACAGTACTGCTCGATGATAACCGTCCCCTGGTCAAGTCACTCAAGTACACGCCGGACATTGCGCAGCACTAGACCTGCGAAGTGTTGGGCTGCGACATGGGGCAGTGTGCAAAATTGACAGACTCACATGTTGGGATTTCATTGAGCAGCACACGTGTACTTAGCGGGACCCTGGCTATCCTTTTCCAGTCCTTTGGTCTTTGATATAGAGTACTCTAATTTCAGAAATTTTAGGTGCTCCATTTTCGGTATGAGGGCAAACGGCCAGGTTAGGTGAACAGAAATTTGGGGTACAGAGAAGCAGTTCCCTATTGGATTATGTGTGTTAGTGGTTGTTTGGTGTATTGAAATTTTAGGTATGAAACAGACGCACAGAAAGTACCGAAAATAACAAAAGTATGCCGAAATTTTGTGAAATTACAGCACCTTGGCTGTGCAGTAGAGATGTTTACGTCCCCTGCAGGTATGTTATGTTGAACAGTTTCACTACATTGCGGTCCTACACTGCATAGTTCTAGGTTTTGATACCCTATTGCAATGCTACACTATACACGTCGCGGTGTTGACACGCTAAAGACGGACCAAACCCCAGTGGGAAGGAACCCTCCCCCCGCAACCAGGTCGACGCTACTTACAAGGCATGGATGCATATGCCATACGGAGGGACCCATCACGGTTCACTGTCAATCATTATTGCTGTGACCACCAATAAACACATTCCTGTGTCTATGTGATGCGTGCTGTCTGCCTTCCTACAGGTTGAGACCGAGGTGCCGTTCCTTCTGAAGCACACGCTGCGCGAGTATCAGCATATTGGTCTGAACTGGCTGGCGACCATGCATCACCGCAAGCTTAACGGTACGCCGGTGTGTGTGTGCGTGTGTGTGTGTGCACGTGCATATGTATGTGCATGTGTGTGTAGTCACTCAGTGATCGGTGACACTGTATGTGACACTGTATGTTGAATTGATGGACTGAACAAGTTTGCCTGGCATCATGTCATCATACCGGTATAATCTTTTCTTGGTTTTTTTTCCTACTGTGTATACCTATGTACATGTAGTGGATTTGGGCATGGCTTTGTAGTACCGTATGCGTGTTTTTGTGATGCAGTGAAGCAGGTGTGACGGCCGTAATCTGAAGATATCCTGCTCTTGCCGGGGGCTTTGCCGCCACCGATTCCCCCTTGCCCCTGCCCGGGGAACCCTCCGGAACCCATCTGCCCCCCCCCCCCACTTGTGATTGTTTATCTAGCTACATGTATGACTTCTTGTCTTCGTCTTTGTCGTCGTCTTCTCTCTCTCTCTCTCTCTCTCTCTCTCTCTCTCTCTCTCTCTCTCTCTCTCTCTCTCTCTCTCTCTCTCTCTCTCTCACACACACACACACACACACACACACACACTCACTCTCTCTCATCATTGGGCCCACACAACACACAGGTATCCTGGCCGATGAGATGGGTCTTGGCAAGACGATCCAGACGATATCACTGCTAGCGTACTGCGCTACAGCGCTGCAGAACTGGGGACCTCATCTGATAGTGGTCCCAACTAGTGTCCTACTCAACTGGGAGATGGAGTTGAAGAAATGGTGTCCAGCCTTCAAAATACTTACCTACTACGGCTCAATCAAGGAACGCAAGAGCAAGCGTGTCGGCTGGAGCAAGCCCAACTCCTTCCACGTCTGCATCACGTCCTACAAGCTAGCACTGCAGGATGCCATTATGTTTCGCCGCAAGAAATGGCAGTACCTGGTCCTGGATGAGGTTAGTGTTCTCCCCTCTGTTACTCCATATTTTCTGCTATGCAAACGAAAACCAATCATCTCTTGATGATTGCTTTTCAGCATGAAACTCGTGAGTAGAGGCATTTAACCACTTTTTGTTCCACCGGATTTTCGTTTGTACTACAGTCCATTCAGAAAAGATGGACTTCTAGCTTTTGGCCATAAATGGGTCAAACTTTGAGTTTTTTAGAATTTTTTCAGCAATCCCCTGTGGAATCCTCTTCCAATTATGTTTCTGAAGTTTTTTTGTCCAAAAGCAAGCCATAACAAGAATAGGATTTCGGCCAGGTTTTGCCCCCAAAGCATTGAATTGGGAAAAACCGTAAAATCCAGGCCGTTTGACCCGTCTGCAACAGTGCATTGTGCGGTTCGAACCCCAGTTCAGGTACCCTTTTGGACCATTTTTCAAATTTCAAATTTCGCAGCACTGCACTGTGTATGATGAAATCACGAAAAATCACCAAATACGGGAGTTTGCCAGAGCCAGGGCCGATCTTTTATGAATGGACTGTAAGCTCTGCACGCCGTGCATTGAGCGGACCGGTAGTCAAGGTTCTATTTCTGCTTTGCTTGGGTGTATCTGGTGTGTTGGTTGGCTGGCCGCATGACGGAACTCGTGTCACCAACACTAACAGTAGCCAACCAAACTAACCAGTACGTGTGTGTGTGTCCGTGTGTGTCCGTGTGTGTGTGTATGTGCACGCGTGTGTCCGTGTGTGTCCGTTTGTTCTTTGCTGGTGGCGCTGTTCCGCTTGTCGTATTCCACTCGCAGGCGCAACACATCAAGAACTTCAAGTCTCAGCGATGGCAGGTCCTGCTGGGTTTGCCCAGCTATCATCGACTACTTCTCACTGGCACCCCGTTGCAGAACTCTCTCATGGAGCTCTGGTCTCTCATGCACTTTCTCATGCCAGACGTGTTTGCGTCGCATCAGGACTTCAAGGAGTGGTTTGCCAACCCGCTGACGGGCATGATCGAGGGCACTCAGGAGTATAACCACTCCATTGTGCAGCGCCTGCACAAGGTCAGTAGTCAGTACTCACTACCGCCACAGCGGTGCTGTCAATGTACTATTGCACTCGGTGAAATCCGACCCAGATTGCACATTTGGCACCCTTAGTAATTTCCGCGGCCCTTGACGCCCTGGAAGTGGCACGAATGCGGCTGGACATTGGGAATGATGCAATCAGTACTGGTACAGGGCGCCAGTTTTGCACTTTGGGTTGGATTTCACCGAGCACAACTGTAGCTAGTGTGCATATTTCAGCGGCCAGATCTTGATCCAGAGCCCTCACATCTGCATGTACATTTACTCAATGCTGTAGACAGCAAGCTGTTTCGGCCATAAAGGCCTCATCAGTACAGCTACGAGCTTTAAATAGGCCGAGCTACCAGCCATGGTACAAAGGAGGCATGTAATTGTACTCTAGACCTGATTGTGCAACTCCTCGTGGGAGTTTAGGACGGCAGACTTCCTCGTTGGTGTCGTTTTAACGAGCTGTGGAAGCTGCGATTCTCGATTGCAGTGCTGCACTGTATCAACATGACCTGTGACCCCGTGGTGTAGCTGATTATGGGGTATCTGATTAATAGTAGTACTGTAGTTGTTGTAATCAGAGTTTAATGGATGCTGACATCAAAAATGCTGTACATGTACATGTCAATGGTAATTTTCTCTTTTCCCAACACCTAAATGAGCGCCGATTTCCTCTTCTTCCCATCACCTATTAAACCTGAGTTACTCAATCTCCGAACAGCTAGCTGTTTCACTCTAGGGAGATAAGTACAGGTCTACCCTGGTTAGTACGACATCGGTCACAAGACAAACCTGAAACGTCATTAGTAGACAACTATCAAAAATCCCCGACGCCTGAAACGTGTACATTCACGTCCGGATAGTAGATAACACTCGTTATAAGACAAAATAATAATAACTTGAACCCCTCCCCCCCCCCCCCCCCCCCCCCCGGTTATCAGTCTACTAACGAGAGTAGACCTGTACTCTTGCTGGTATCAATCACAACGTAACGTTACTCAGTTACTGATGACACTCCTGTTTGTTTCACTTTGCTCCTGTAGGTTCTTCGTCCATTCTTGCTCCGGCGGCTGAAGTGTGACGTAGAGAAACAGCTACCGTCTAAGTATGAGCACATAGTGCCGTGCTGGCTGTCCAAGCGACAACGCTATCTTTACGATGACTTCATGTCCAAAAGAAAGTAAGCGCTGCCTGCACTAGAGCTGCATGCGTGTCTGTGGGAGGGAGGGGGGGGGGGGGGTGAGTGTGTGTGTGTGTGTGTGTGTGTGTGTGTGTGTGCGCGCGCGCGCTTGCACGAGCGTGTGCGTGTCTGTATGTGTGTTGTGTGTGTGTGTTGTGTAAGTTGTGTGTGTGTGTTTTGTGTTGTGTGTGTGTGTGTGTGTGTGTGCGTGCGTGCGTGCGTGTGTGTGTGTGTGTGTGTGTGCATGCGTGCGTGCGTGTGTGTGTGTTGTGTGCAGAACAAAGGAAACTCTGGCGGCCGGTAACTTTCTCAGTGTCATCAACATTCTCATGCAGCTAAGAAAGGTGAGTGAAACCAACAATGATCCTCTTCATTAGGGATTAGCATGCCTCTGGCTAGAAACATTCGTATGTTTTGACACACTCTGATCGGATATTGGTAGGCTTGTGATGCAAAGTGCCACCGTGTTTGCCTGCCTTGTTCACTCTTCCTCTCCTTTAGAGCTAACACATTTTTTATTTGTTTATCTGTTTATCTGTGTGCATGTGTGTATGTGTGTATATGTGTGTGTGTGTGTGTGTGTGTGTGTGTGTCTGTCTGTCTGTCTGTCTGTCTGTCTGTCTGTCTGTGTCTGTGTACCCATGTGTTGCATGTGTACGTGTGTGTTTGTGTAGGTGTGCAATCATCCGGACATGTTTGAGCCCCGGCCGATCACATCCCCCGCTTGTTTTGAAGGTGTCACGTACTCTACGGCGTCTCTAGTGCTCACACCACTCATCTACCAACCACTGTCGGTACGGCAATACAGTGTACTAGTACTTGAATACGGTATTCTGTACTAGTGAGTTAGGCCTTAGGGGCCGTCCGTAAATATCGATATTTTTTTCAAGACGATATTTGTTCAATTCTCCCCCCTCGAAACGAACATACACATGTTTATGCAGAGGATCGATATTTTTTAATGAAGTGCAATTTCCTCATGAAACGTGACCAGCTGCAACTCTGATTTCACCATACACCTAGGTTTACGTTGCCACGGTCGCACAACCTTGCCATGGCTATGTTCACGAGGTTGACTTTCACTTTGTGTAGGTCATAAACTAAATGTTTGAACAGTGACCATCCATAGATTGAGTTCGATATTTTTTTCTCAAAGACTAGACGAACAGGGCTCAAACCCCCTCCCCCCCCCCCCCCAAACGAACGAATATCTTCTCCAAAAAAATATCGATATTTGTGGACGACCCCTTGCGATAACATTGAGAGAAAGGACACACTTCAGGCTCTTCAACATCATCTCGAAAGTGTTTTGTGTTTGTGTTTTGTAGTCCGAACGGGAACTGAAATCTTGCTAGTACTAGTAGTAGAGCTGCGTGTGATGTTCGTCATACTTGCTAGCACTGTGCAGGCTCTAGCCACGGCTTCCGTGTACGCAGTCTCAACCTGTGCAGCCTCTATGTACTACTTGGCTAGCTTTGCACAGTCGGCTGCTGCATCACAGTACACTTCTGTCAGCTGAGCAACGATTGTCATGACCTGCATCATGCTGCATTCAAACTTGTCCAGGTTGTGATCTATTTCCATCTTACTGTAACGCACGTTTACGTTCCCCAGCACCTTTGGAGAGGTGAAGTGTGCTTAACGATACAAGGGAGGTGACGACATACAGCCCTCTTATGTGTGTGTGTGTGTGTGCGTGCGTGTGTGTGTGTATGTGTGTGCGTTTGTTCACCCGTTATGTCCCTGCTCACTTGTAGACGTTCAACCCGTCCTCGTTCAACTTTGACTTGCTGTCCATGGAGGAGGAGGAAGACACTCTTGCACAGCAGCGCTCCCTATCACTGCAAGTCAGCAGGTGGCTGACGGAGGACTCTGAGCTGCAGCCTGAGTCAGAGCTCCCGTCCATGCTGGCGCGCACATCCGTGTCCAGCTCTGGCTCCAGCCCGACTGCCGTGCGACGCCGATCAGGCATCCACAGGCCTGACCTACCCATGGCCTTCATCTTGGTAAGGCGTCACTGACACTCCGGTCTTCTTTACTCTAAGATTTTGTATTGTGTATTGTGTGTTGTGTATTGCACTACCTGATCTACCTATTCAACTCGGATGGTGAGCCAATTAAAGTATGGTGAAAAAAAGGAGGGCAAAATGTGACGAGTTATGACTAACTGTCCACCAACGTCAGGTCGCCGAATGTCTCAGTACTCCTTGTCAGTTTTGTGCCATTTTGTCACGCTCGCTGACTGTATAAGATCTGGTTACGTTGGTGGACAGTTAGTCGTAACTCGTCACATTTTGTCCTTCTTTTTTTTCACCATGATCTACTTATGTGTAGATATGTGTTGCTTTCACGGTTCAGTAATCATTCTCACGGCTGTCCGTGTGTTTCTGTGCGTCTGTATGTGGTCATGTGTGTGTGTGCTGCTACTGTCTGTCCATGTGCTTCTGTTTGTGTGACCATGTGCATGTGCGCGCTGCATACATCTGTTGCTCTGCTCCCTGTTGCCGTGTTGTCCCCTGTTCTTGCTGCAGCCTGAACTGGCTGCTGCCCAAGCGGAGTCGTATCGTCAGCGCCAGTCACAGATGGCCCAGACCAGTCGCATGCGCTGTCAGCGCTTCCCAATGCTTGGCCGCTCACTGCGCCAGGTTCTGGAGTCAGCGTGCAGACGCAGGTACTGGCGTTGTGTTGAAGACACCGATGCACAGCAGAGGTAAGGATCGGTGGTGTGTACTAGCAGTGTGTTGCTGCCTGCTGGTGTATTTGCTTTATCTGTGTGTGCACGAGGGAGGTCGTCACTATCAGTTAGTGAAAACCGTCTCATGATTCTGCCACCGTGTGTTTGTGTGTGTGTGTGTGTGTGTGTGTGTGTGTGTGTGTGTGTGTGTGTGTGTGTGTGCGCGCGCGTATGTGTGTGTGTGTGTGTGTGTGTGTGTGTGTGTGTGTGTGTGTGTGTGCTAGTGAAGCTTATATCAGATCCACTCTGATTTAGCCACCCACACTAGTAGCAAGTATTACCTACACTGGGGGCAGGCGTAACTGCAGTTGGATCCCGGGACGGATACCCTGATGCCGTCAATCCTGTTTCTGCACCTTGTCCTCACCCACTTACTGAGGTGTGGTGAGCCCATAAGTGGGATCATTTTCAAGTCCACCCAGAGTTTTGGGGATTTCAGGGGGTGTCGGCCGTTGGGCGATTCTATAGCCAATTGAGTCATCTTTCCAAGATTCCTTTTGAGTCTCTCTCCCCTCTCCCGCAGAGACCCACTTGACCAGTTTTGGCAGTGAGCAACAAGTACAAGTACAAGTGTGTCTGTGTCCGTGTGTGTCTGTGTGTATGCCTGTGTTTGTGTTTGCGCGCGCGCGCGTGCGTGTGTGTGGATGTGTGTGTGTGTGTGTGTGTGTGCGTGCACGCGCGTGCGTGCCCATCCCTGTGCATGTATGTGCATGTCTCTTATTGAATTTTGCTGTTCTAAACCATACCGTATGGTACATGTGTACTTTTCATGTTTGTTGTTTTCTCTTGCACCTCCATGTACATGCACTACCTGTAGATATGTATCATCAGCCAGTGTGGTAGATGGTAGCATATCACATCGTCCTGCAACATGCTACTGTCCCAGTACAGCTCTAGAGGAGGCAGTATGTACGTATGAAGAGAGGTTCCAGCAACTAGCACCGCTACTGCGTCGGTAAGGAGACCACTATGACAACCTATCAGTGTGCTTCCTGCTGCTGCTGTTGCTGCTGCTGGTGTGGCTGCAGCTGCTGGGGCTGCTGCTATACAGATATTGTTTGTTTGATGTGCATGTCCATGTATTGGTGATGTGTATCTGGATGTGTATCGGAGGGGGGATTTGCTTGTTGAGCAATTGCCACTCCTGCTTTGCTGTGTAGACCTGCAGCAAAGACGACATAATGTATTGCTTACGACTTGTGGTGTACAAGACCTGTATTGCATAGTCACTTGTCAGGAGTTACTGCTGACCAATAGCCATTATTCTAGATTGCAGCTGTTTTAGGTGATTTGGCCTACAATGATTGATTTCTGGCCAGAGACGTGTGCTTGTATTTTAGACTCCCCCTCCGATCTATCTGTTTGTCTGTCTGACTGTTTTGTATGTATGTTTGTGTGTGTGTGTGCGCGCGCGTGTGTGCGTGCGCGCGCGTGTGTGCGTGCGTGCGTGTATGTAGGTTTGTGATGTTTGTACCGACTGCCAACTGTGCAGCAGTGACACTGCATACGGTACACCCTCCGCCACATCTAGCCGTGGCAGCGGAGAGTGAACGGCGACAACTGCACAGGTTTCTCTCCGACACCGGACGCTGCGACATCTTCCACAGCGTTGCCACGACGATGTCGTTCAGCTTCCCGGAGCGACGTCTCATCCAGTATGACTGTGGTGAGTTCTCGATGCACTGCAGTGCTGTGAACGTTATCCCTGCCTATCACTCAATAGAGGTTGTGTGATTACATCATAGAGGTTGTGTGATTACATCATAGAGGTTGTGTGATTACATCATAGAGGTTGTGTGATTACATCATAGAGGTTGTGTGATTACATCATACGTGGCCATAAAGGAACGCAGGTTACTGTGTAAGCAGAAAATTTCGTCGGTCAATGATTTCGTCCAACTCCAAAGAAAGGGAGTTCGTCCGGTTGTAAATTTCGTCCATGGATCATAAGCTGGACAAATCGACATTAGTCCCGCATTTAATTCAGTCCAAAAGCTCCTTGGACGAAAAGATGAAATTAAATTCCAGACGAATATTTCTGCTCGTACAGTATGTGATTACATCATACACTACCATAAAGAAGACGGCTGTGTGGCAAACTGGGAGAACTGTGTACTGAGATACTCTAGCCCTGATATGGAAGCCAGTGACAATTTTATTGACTTCTGAGTGGCTATTGTACTATGATGAGTCATTCACATAACCTCTATAGATGTACACAATAATCTGCTGATTTCGGTCTACCGATGTGTGAGACATTCTCTCAGATGGCCTATCCGTGCTACACGTTTAACGGCTTTTATGGATGGTCTTTGTTGGAAGTGTTTCTCAACACACCGGCATGGCCGGTGGTAACTCAGATGTGCGAACGTTACTTGGCTTTATTTGAAGTATGTTGTAGGCAGTTTTGAAAGTGTTGGTGGACAAGCCATTTGTTAGCCACTCTCATTGTAAACTTAAAAAGTACTGTAGTCCGCTTCCTATACACACTCCTGCATGGTGCCACAGGTTTTTAGTGCACTGCTTTTTTGCCGTTGTGCAGTTTGAACAAAGGCTGTTTTTCCTCTGCTTCTCGGTAGAATGTGAACCTTAACGCCTCTCTGATTATTTGAGAGCTGCTATGGCTGTCCTCTTGTTTTTCTATTTTGTTTCTTTTGTTGTTGTTTTCTTTTTCATTGCATTTTTTTGTTTTGATCTGTTGTTGTCGTCGTTGTTGTACAGGCAAGCTGCAGGTATTGGACTTGCTGCTGAAGAAGCTCAAGGCTGGCACTCATCGGTATGTACTGCTGTCGAGTAGGACACTATGCACTGTCCATAGAAACAGGTTACAGTATTTAGCATAGCAGGCAAGTCCTTTGGTACTTTCCAAACCAAGCCGGTTTTGTTGGTGGCGAGCTTCATTGACTGCCCGCCGTTTTGACCATCAAAAAAAAAAATGCTGTGAAAGCTGATCTGAGGAATATGAATTCTCACTTGGCTGGCGAGGTTGGGTTTAGGGAAAACACTTTCGTCTCGCTGAAGTCGCTTAAAACTGACCCATGTTGTACAAGACTAGACAATGGTATGCGAGCCTTGCTTGCTTGCTTCCTTGCTTGACAGCATGTTGCAAGACGGAGGCGGGGACACACTGTGTTTGGTCGCAAGACCGGGACTCTGCCAACCGAGGATGGTTGCAGTCAGGAGCAGTGTTCTCAGCACAGAGCGTCCTCCGCCTTGTAACATGCCGTCAATCATCGAGCAAGACTGGACAAGTAGAGGGGTTGTCCTTTTGGTGAGCTCTGGATACCAGCATGCACTTGATCATCTGTCCATGCCATGGTGTAAAGGCCGCCAGTACAGTGTTGGTGTACAGTACTGGCGGGCGCCGAAGAACGGAGCGCCGAAGAACGGAGCGCCGAAGAACGGAGCGCCGAAGAACGGAGCGCCGAAGAACGGAGCGCCGAAGAACGGAGCGCCGAAGAACGGAGCGCCGAAGAACGGAGCGCCGAAGAACGGAGCCCCCGAAGAACGGAGCCCCCGAAGAACGGAGCGCCGAAGAACGGAGCGCCGAAGAACGGAGCGCCGATGAACAGAGCGCCGAAAAACGGCCAAGCTAGAATTTCAACAAGCACAGCATACCGACGTGTGCACGGCGACTCAACTGTGCATAGACTGTAATACATGAAAATAAGAACGGTCTAGGCTAGGAGGCCCACCCCCCACCCCCCCTCCCCCCCCCCCCCCCCCCTCAGTTCTTCGGCGACCAACAGTACTGTATGCAACTACAAGTCTCACATCCCTCTCGGCGGTTGCATCAAGCACAGTCCAGTGTTTTCAAAGTGCTCTCGGCGTAAACAACTCTCTGGTTTCCTTCTTGTTTGTTTAGTGTGTTGATCTTCACGCAAATGACCAAGATGCTGGATGTGCTGGAAACGTTCTTGACCTACCATGGCCATACTTACTTACGACTGGATGGTACAACCGGTGTGGAACAAAGACAAGTGAGTTGTTTAGAATCGTGTGTGTGTGTGTGTGTTTCTCTCTCTCTCTCTCTCTCTTTCTCTCTCTCTCTCTCTCTCTCTCTCTCTCTCTCTCTCCCTCTCCTCTCTCTCTCTCTCTCTCTCTCTCTCTCTCTCTCTCTCTCTCTCTCTCTCTCTCTCTCTCTCTCTCTCTCTCTCTCTCTCTCTCTCTCTCTCTCTCTCTCTCTCTCTCCCTCTCTCCCTCTCTCCCTCTCTCTCTCTCTCTCTCTCTCTCTCTCTCTCTCTCTCTCTCTCTCTCTCTCCCTCTCCCTCTCCCTCTCTCTCTCTCTCTCCCTCCCTCCCTCTCCCTTATTCCTGTCTCTTCCAACATGTAAAGCTCGTAATCATCATCTGTCCCTCTCTATCTATTCGTCACTGCATATGTTCAATTTATATTTCATGCTCTCCCTATGCACGTGTGTGATCTTGTGTATTTTTGTGCTCTTGTGCGTGTGTGTCGGCAGGTGTTGATGGAACGGTTCAACACGGACCCACGCATATTCTGCTTCATCCTGTCGACGCGCAGTGGTGGACTGGGTATCAACTTGACTGGTGCTGACACTGTGGTGTTCTATGACAGTGACTGGAACCCTACCATGGATGCTCAGGCACAGGACCGATGTCATCGCATTGGACAGACGCGTGATGTGCACATCTATAGGTGAGCAGCATGGGCCGGCAGTGTGGTTCGGTAGTGTGCACATGTGCTGGACATTGTCATTGTGTTCAGTTTGTGCTCGGGTGCAGAGCCTAGCCACTGTGCTCCGTGTGCTCTCTGACGTGTATCCTGTGCGGCTGCTGCTGTTGCTGCTGTTGCTATCGCTGCTGTTGCTGTTGCTGCTGCTGCTGCTGCTGTTGCTGTAGCTGCTGCTGTTGTTGCTGCTGCTGCTGCTGTTGCTGCTTTTGCTGTTGCTGCTACTGCTACTGGTGCTGCTGCTGTTGTTGTTGCTCTGTTGCTGCTGTTGCTGTTGCTGCTGCTCTTGCTGGGGCTGCATGGGCTGCTAAAGGCGCCTGCGTTGCAAGCCCAATTTTGCATTGTGTAATTCTCTAATAGTGTACATCAAGAGTACATAACCCCCCAGAGTGTGCAACTCCACTATGGGTGCTGTCCCGACAGAATTTCAAGTTGACGTCATTTTGATGATGCAATGCGCACTCACTGTACACGGATTATCAGACGAATCCGGAACCTGTGGTTGACCGAAGCCGATCGATCCTGTACAAATTATTGGAAAGAAAAAGCGTGTGATGCGTTGACACCCGTACACATGTTGTAAATCACTGGTGCAAGGAGCATTGCGTCATAAATAATGACGTCAACTTGAAATTCTGTCGGGACAGCAGGGTATGTGGGAGTTGCACACTCTGGGGGGGGGGGGGGGGGGGGGTTATGTACTTTTGTGTACATGCATACCATACCACTGATGCCGCACGTGTCTATGTACATTGTGTACACTGTGAAAACTGTGTATGTGTGTGCATGCTCAGACTCATCTCAGAACACACGATTGAGGAGAACATTCTGAAGAAAGCCAATCAGAAGCGGCTGCTGGGTGACGTGGCCATTGAAGACGGTGGCTTCACGCCATCTTTCTTCAAGCAGGTAGGAGCAATAGTGGAAGTGGTGTCTGAGTGTGTGTGTCTCTCTTCTATTCACCCACTAAAGCTGGAGAGTGTCAGCAGTTGCTGCTGAGTAGTGCTGTAGCAGTGCAGTAGCAAGATTGCACATGTTGTGACGGTATCTTCAATACTATGAACCTGTACGGAACCTACTTCTTTTCTTTCCTTTCCTTTTTCCGTATACCGGTACCGTAAAGTACCGCCAGAGCGCCCCACCATCTCATCCTTTCGTGGTCGTATTGTGGAGGTGGTCTGCTGTCTGTAGGTCATACGACATGAACCTTGTACACAGATTGCACGTTTTGCAGTCAATCCGTACCTTCAAGCGGATACAAGCTCCACACAAAAACCTGCCAAGTGTGACCTTAGTACACTAAGATTCTCACATCGTACACACTTCGTTGCACTCTGTCATACGATTTTCCTTTCTCTGGCTGTAAAATCAAGGTGGGGCGCTCTCGCGAGACGGGGCGCTCTGGCGGTACTTTACGGTACTACTTTCCTTACTCAGTGTTGGCTTGTGCTAACGTTACTGCTGCGGATGCAGCGGCTGGTGCTGTTGTTGTTGATGTTGATGTTGTTGTCGTTGTTGTTGTTGTTGCCGCGGAATGATAGAATTGCATAATTTCACCAATTATACGACCAGTGTACGTCTGCGAGGTCCAGCCACTGTAAATGTGTCGTAAACTTCTGAAATTCTTGAACGTGGCAAACATGTCTTGCTCTTGGGTCAAGTGAACATTGTGTTGAGAGTGTATGTATAGTAACCAGCCAGTACACATACTTCCTGGCCTGTTTCAAATGCTTCTTGTGTTTACTCAGGATTCCATCACTGACATCTTCAAGTCGAATGGTGAATGCCTTGAAGACATTGCTGCGGCCATACCAGACAACTCTAAACAGTTTGAAGAGGTTAGTGATCATGCAATGTTGCTGTGTTGTGACTGGTGGCTGTACGTGCTACTGGCTGACCACTGTATGGCTGGTGGTTATGAACTGCTGGCTGACCACTCTTTGACTGGTGGTTATGAACTGCTGGCTGACCACTGTATGGCTGGTGGTTATGAACTGCTGGCTGACCACTGTATGCCTGGTGGTTATGAACTGCTGGCTGACCACTGTATGCCTGGTGGTTATGAACCACTGGCTGAACACTGTATGGCTGGTGGTTATGAACCACTGGCTGACCACTGTAGGACTGGTAGTTATGAACTGCTGGCTGACCACTGTATCACTGGTGGTTATGAACTACTGGATGACCACTGTATGGCTGGTGGTTATGAACTACTGGCTGACCACTGTATGGCTGGTGGTTATGAACTGCTGGCTGACCACTGTATGGCTGGTGGTTATGAACTGCTGGCTGACCACTGTATGGCTGGTGGTTATGAACTGCTGGCTGACCACTGTATGACTGGTGGTTATGAACTACTGGATGACCACTGTATGGCTGGTGGTTATGAACTACTGGCTCACCACTGTATGGCTGGTGGTTATGAACCACTGGCTGACCACTGTGTGGCTGGTGGTTATGAACTGCTGGCTGACCACTGTATGACTGGTGGTTATGAACTGCTGGCTGACCACTGTATCACTGGTGGTTATGAACTACTGGCTGACCACTGTTTGGCTGGTGGTTATGAACTGCTGGTTATCCACTGTATGACTGGTGGTTATGAACTGCTGGCTGACCACTGTATGGCTGGTGGTTATGAATTGCTGGCTGACCACTCTATGGCTGGTGGTTATGAACTGCCGGCTGACCACTGTGTGGCTGGTGGTTATGAACTGCTGGCTGAGCACTGTATGGCTGGTGGTTATGAACTGCTGGCTGACCACTGTATGGCTGGTGGTTATGAATTGCTGGCTGACCACTGTATGGCTGGTGGTTATGAACTGCTGGCTGACCACTGTGTGGCTGGTGGTTATGAACTGCTGGCTGACCACTCTTTGACTGGTGGTTATAAACTGCTGGCTGACCACTGTATGACTGGTGGTTATGAACTACTGGATGACCACTGTATGGCTGGTGGTTATGAACTACTGGCTGACCACTGTATGGCTGGTGGTTATGAACTGCTGGCTGACCACTGTATGACTGGTGGTTATGAACTGCTGGCTGACCACTGTATGGCTGGTGGTTATGAACTACTGGATGACCACTGTATGGCTGGTGGTTATGAACTACTGGCTGACCACTGTATGGCTGGTGGTTATAAACTGCTGGCTGACCACTGTATGACTGGTGGTTATGAACTGCTGGCTGACCACTGTATGGCTGGTGGTTATGAACCACTGGCTGACCACTGTATGGCTGGTGGTTATGAACCACTGGCTGACCACTGTATTACTGGTGGTTATGAACTACTGGCTGACCACTGTATGGCTGGTGGTTATGAACTGCTGGCTGACCACTGTATGGCTGGTGGTTATGAACTGCTGGCTGACCACTGTATGGCTGGTGGTTATGATCTGCTGGCTGACCACTGTATGGCTGGTGGTTATGAACTACTGGCTGACCACTGTATGGCTGGTGGTTATGAACCACTGGCTGACCACTGTATGGCTGGTGGTTATGAACTGCTGGCTGACCACTGTATGGCTGGTGGTTATGAATTGCTGGCTGACCACTCTATGGCTGGTGGTTATGAACTGCTGGCTGACCACTGTGTGGCTGGTGGTTATGAACTGCTGGCTGACCACTGTATGGCTGGTGGTTATGAACTGCTGGCTGACCACTGTATGGCTGGTGGTTATGAACTACTGGCTGACCACTATATGGCTGGTGGTTATGAACTGCTGGCTGACCACTGTATGACTGGTGGTTATGAACTGCTGGCTGACCACTGTATGACTGGTGGTTATGAACTACTGGATGACCGCTGTATGGCTGGTGGTTATGAACTACTGGCTGACCACTGTATGGCTGGTGGTTATGAACTGCTGGCTGACCACTGTATGGCTGGTGGTTATGAACTGCTGGCTGACCACTGTATGACCGGTGGTTATGAACTGCTGGCTGACCACTGCATGGCTGGTGGTTATGAACCACTGGCTGACCACTGTATGGCTGGTGTTTATGAACCACTGGCTGACCACTGTATGGCTGGTGTTTATGAACCACTGGCTGACCACTGTATGACTGGTGGTTATGAACTACTGGCTGACCACTGTATGGCTGGTGGTTATGAACTGCTGGCTGACCACTGTATGGCTGGTGGTTATGAACTGCTGGCTGACCACTGTATGGCTGGTGGTTATGAACTACTGGTTAACCACTGTATGACTGGTGGTTATGAACTGCTGGTGGACCACTTGATGACTGGTTGTTATGAACTGCTGGCTGACCACTGTTTGACTGGTGGTTATGAACTGCTGGCTGACCACTGTATAGCTGGTGGTTATGAACTGCTGGCTGACCACTGTATGGCTGGTGGTTATGAACTACTGGCTGACCACTGTATGGCTGGTGGTTATGAACCACTGGCTGACCACTGTATGGCTGGTGGTTATGAACTGCTGGCTGACCACTGTATGGCTGGTGGTTATGAACCACTGGCTGACCACTGTGTGGCTGGTGGTTATGAACTGCTGGCTGACCACTGTATGACTGGTGGTTATGAACTGCTGGCTGACCACTGTATCACTGGTGGTTATGAACTGCTGGTTAACCACTGTATCACTGGTGGTTATGAACTGCTGGCTGACCACTGTATGGCTGGTGGTTATGAACTGCTGGCTGACCACTGTATGGCTGGTGGTTATGAACTGCTGGCTGACCACTGTATGGCTGGTGGTTATGAACTGCTGGCTGACCACTGTATGGCTGGTGGTTATGAACTACTGGCTGACCACTGTATGGCTGGTGGTTATGAACTGCTGGCTGACCACTGTATGGCTGGTGGTTATGAACTGCTGGCTGACCACTGTATGGCTGGTGGTTATGAACTACTGGCTGACCACTGTATGGCTGGTGGTTATGAACCACTGGCTGACCACTGTATGGCTGGTGGTTATGAACTGCTGGCTGACCACTGTATGGCTGGTGGTTATGAACCACTGGCTGACCACTGTATGGCTGGTGGTTATGAACTGCTGGCTGACCACTGTATGACTGGTGGTTATGAACTGCTGGCTGACCACTGTATCACTGGTGGTTATGAACTGCTGGTTAACCACTGTATCACTGGTGGTTATGAACTGCTGGCTGACCACTGTATGGCTGGTGGTTATGAATTGCTGGCTGACCACTCTATGGCTGGTGGTTATGAACTGCTGGCTGACCACTGTGTGGCTGGTGGTTATGAACTGCTGGCTGACCACTCTTTGACTGGTGGTTATGAACTGCTGGCTGACCACTGTATGGCTGGTGGTTATGAACTACTGGCTGACCACTGTATGGCTGGTGGTTATGAACTGCTGGCTGACCACTGTATGACTGGTGGTTATGAACTGCTGGCTGACCACTGTATGACTGGTGGTTATGAACTACTGGATGACCACTGTATGGCTGGTGGTTATGAACTACTGGCTGACCACTGTATGGTTGGTGGTTATGAACTGCTGGCTGACCACTGTATGGCTGGTGGTTATGAACTACTGGATGACCACTGTATGGCTGGTGGTTATGAACTACTGGCTGACCACTGTATGGCTGGTGGTTATGAACTGCTGGCTGACCACTGTATGACTGGTGGTTATGAACTGCTGGCTGACCACTGCATGGCTGGTGGTTATGAACCACTGGCTGACCACTGTATGGCTGGTGTTTATGAACCACTGGCTGACCACTGTATGACTGGTGGTTATGAACTACTGGCTGACCACTGTATGACTGGTGGTTATGAACTGCTGGCTGACCACTGTATGGCTGATGGTTATGAACTGCTGGCTGACCACTGTATGGCTGGTGGTTATGAACTGCTGGCTGACCACTGTATGGCTGGTGGTTATGAACTGCTGGCTGACCACTGTATGGCTGGTGGTTATGAACTACTGGCTGACCACTGTATGGCTGGTGGTTATGAACTGCTGGCTGACCACTGTATGACTGGTGGCTATGAACTGCTTCCTGACCACTGTATGGCTGGTGGTTAAGAACTGCAGCTGACCACTTTTTGGTTGGTGGTTATGAACTGCTGGCTGACCACTGTTTGTCTGGTGGTTATGAACTGCTGGCTGACCACTCTTTGACTGGTGGTTATGAACTGCTGGCTGACCACTGTATGACTGGTGGTTATGAACTGCTGGCTGACCACTGTATGGCTGGTGGTTATGAACTGCTGGCTGACCACTCTTTGACTGGTGGTTATGAACTGCTGGCTGACCACTGTATGACTGGTGGTTATGAACTGCTGGCTGAGCACTGTATGGCTGGTGGTTATGAACTGCTGGCTGACCACTGTATGGCTGGTGGTTATGAACTACTGGCTGACCACTGTATGGCTGGTGGTTAAGACCTGCGGCCGACTACTGTATGGCTGGTGGTTATGAACTGCTGGCTGACCACTTTTTGGCTGGTGGTTATGAACTACTGGCTGACTACTGTATGACTGGTGGTAATGAACTGCTGGCTGACCACTGTATGACTGGTGGTTATGAACTGCTGGCTGACCACTGTATGGCTGGTGGTTATGAACTGCTGGCTGACCACTGTATGGCTGGTGGTTATGAACTGCTGGCTGACCACTGTATGGCTGGTGGTTATGAACTGCTGGTTAACCACTGTATGACTGGTGGTTATGAACTGCTGGTGGACCACTTGATGACTGGTTGTTATGAACTGCTGGCTGACCACTGTATGACTGGTGGTTATGAACTGCTGGCTGACCACTGTATGGCTGGTGGTTATGAACCACTGGCTGACCACTGTGTGGCTGGTGGTTATGAACTGCTGGCTGACCACTGTATGACTGGTGGTTATGAACTGCTGGCTGACCACTGTATCACTGGTGGTTATGAACTGCTGGTTAACCACTGTATCACTGGTGGTTATGAACTGCTGGCTGACCACTGTATGGCTGGTGGTTATTAATTGCTGGCTGACCACTCTATGGCTGGTTGTTATGAACTGCTGGCTGACCACTCTTTGACTGGTGGTTATGAACTGCTGGCTGACCACTGTATGGCTGGTGGTTATGAACTACTGGCTGACCACTGTATGGCTGGTGGTTTTGAACTGCTGGCTGACCACTGTATGACTGGTGGTTATGAACTACTGGATGACCACTGTATGGCTGGTGGTTATGAACTACTGGCTGACCACTGTATGGTTGGTGGTTATGAACTGCTGGCTGACCACTGTATGGCTGGTGGTTATGAACTACTGGATGACCACTGTATGGCTGGTGGTTATGAACTACTGGCTGACCACTGTATGGCTGGTGGTTATGAACTGCTGGCTGACCACTGTATGACTGGTGGTTATGAACCACTGGCTGACCACTGCATGGCTGGTGGTTATGAACCACTGGCTGACCACTGTATGGCTGGTGTTTATGAACCACTGGCTGACCACTGTATGGCTGGTGGTTATGAACTGCTGGCTGACCACTGTATGGCTGGTGGTTATGAACTGCTGGCTGACCACTGTATGGCTGGTGGTTATGAACTGCTGGCTGACCACTGTATGGCTGGTGGTTATGAACTGCTGGCTGACCACTGTATGGCTGGTGGTTATGAACTACTGGCTGACCACTGTATGGCTGGTGGGTATGAACTGCTGGCTGACCACTGTATGACTGGTGGCTATGAACTGCTTCCTGACCACTGTATGGCTGGTGGTTAAGAACTGCAGCTGACCACTTTTTGGTTGGTGGTTATGAACTGCTGGCTGACCACTGTTTGTCTGGTGGTTATGAACTGCTGGCTGACCACTCTTTGACTGGTGGTTATGAACTGCTGGCTGACCACTGTATGACTGGTGGTTATGAACTGCTGGCTGACCACTGTATGGCTGGTGGTTATGAACTGCTGGCTGACCACTCTTTGACTGGTGGTTATGAACTGCTGGCTGACCACTGTATGACTGGTGGTTATGAACTGCTGGCTGAGCACTGTATGGCTGGTGGTTATGAACTGCTGGCTGACCACTGTATGGCTGGTGGTTATGAACTACTGGCTTACCACTGTATGGCTGGTGGTTAAGACCTGCGGCCGACTACTGTATGGCTGGTGGTTATGAACTGCTGGCTGGCCACTTTTTGGCTGGTGGTTATGAACTACTGGCTGACTACTGTATGACTGGTGGTAATGAACTGCTGGCTGACCACTGTATGACTGGTTGTTATGAACTGCTGGCTGACCACTGTATGGCTGGTGGTTATGAACTGCTGGCTGACCACTGTATGGCTGGTGGTTATTAACTGCTGGCTGACCACTGTATGGCTGGTGGTTATGAACTGCTGGTTAACCACTGTATGACTGGTGGTTATGAACTGCTGGTGGACCACTTGATGACTGGTTGTTATGAACTGCTGGCTGACCACTGTTTGACTGGTGGTTATGAACTGCTGGCTGACCACTGTATAGCTGGTGGTTATGAACTGCTGGCTGACCACTGTATGGCTGGTGGTTATGAACTACTGGCTGACCACTGTATCACTGGTGGTTATGAACTGCTGGCTGACCACTGTATGACTGGTGGTTATGAACTGCTGGCTGACCACTCTATGGCTGGTGGTTATGAACTGCTGGCTGACCACTGTGTGGCTGGCGGTTAAGAACTGCTGGCTGACCACTCTATGGCTGGTGGGTAAGAACTGCTGGCTGACCATTTAATGGCTGGTGGTTATGAACTGCTGGCTGACCACTGGACGACTGGTTGTTATGAACTGCTGGCTGACCACTGTATGACTGGTGGTTGTGAACTGCTGGCTGACCACTCTATGGCTGGTGGTTATGAACTGCTGGCTGACCACTGTGTGGCTGGCGGTTAAGAACTGCTGGCTGACCACTCTATGGCTGGTGGTTAAGAACTGCTGGCTGACCATTTAATGGCTGGTGGTTATGAACTGCTGGCTGACCACTGTGTGGCTGGTGGTTATGAACTGCTGGCTGACCACTGTATGGCTGGTGGTTATGAACTGCTGGCTGACCACTCTTTGACTGGTGGTTATGAACTGCTGGCTGACCACTGTATGGCTGGTGGTTATGAACTGCTGGCTGACCACTGTATGACTGGTTGTTATGAACTGCTGGCTGACCACTGTATGGCTGGTGATTATGAACTGCTGGCTGACCACTGTGTGGCTGGTGGTTATGAACTGCTGGCTGACCAATGTAGTGCTGGTGGTTATGAACTGCTGTCTGACCACTGTATGTCAGGTGGTTATGAACTGCTGGCTGACCACTGTATGGTTGGTGATTAAGATAATTGGGTTAATTTTGACTGACAATCCACTGTTCTGGTTTTTGACGTTCTTGTTTTTGCCTATGCTGTTGCTGCTGGTCTTGTTCTTGTTCTTGTTCTTGTACTTGGTGTTGTCATCGTCGTTGTTGTGATGTTGTATAACAAGGTCCTGAGCAAGGTGGAAGATGAGACAGATGCACAAGCGGCTAAGAAGGCGCGCGCGGAGGTCGCAGAAGAGGAGGTTGAGCTGAACAGCAACTTTGTGGTAAGTGACGTATGGATATGCCGTGCATGGCCCAACTAATAGACTGGTTATAGTAGCATTGGGCACGCAACAACATCCAGGCTGGAAAATTATCACACTTTAGGAAGATGCCAGGCTGGATGTAGTAACAGTTTTGGAACACAAGTGTGTGTGTGTGTGGGTGGGTGCGTGCGTGCGTGCGTGCGTGCGTGTGTGTGTGCGTGTGTGTGCGTGCGTGCGTGCTGAGTAGTAGGATGTAAAGTCCTCCGACACAGCAAACACACGCACAGCAAGGTCAAGTCTTTATATATAATTATTATGATCCATTTATTCTTACGCGTTTCTGCCTTTAACCCTTTGGAGTCCATGGTTCGATTTCAAACCATGGGCATTTTGTATGCATGTGGGCGCAGTCAATCTTTCAGTTCTCGGCCAAATCCTGACCAAATTCAACAATCGAAAGGTCTAGATGGTAGAGAAAACTCTCAGCTATCGCCTCGAACAGGTCTGAAGTCTCTCCAATGAAGTTTGAGTGAGCGGCGAGCGATCAAACATTTCGAATTTTCTGCGCTGCTTGCTGCGAGTCAGCAGTGCGTGAAAAGAAGGGATTTTCCCAGCTTCATGACAGGCGGCGCGTGCCAGGACCGGCGCGGCGGGAAGTCACGGCAAGGTAAGCTTCTACTCGAAAAAATTTGAACAGTTCCCAGCTAGATTCAGTGAAATGGCTACAGGAGACCGATTTCGTCTCAGATCTGGAGCTGGACTCGCGTTTGGAGCGCGTTGTGGCGGACAATGAATAGTGCTGTTGGCGAGTTTGGGCTCATTGTATTTCTCTCATCAAGAGCTTTCCAACGAGCCCAAGATCTTCAAAATCGGTGAAGTAGAACCAAAGTTATGTTGGAAATGGAGTGCGCATTTTCGTGACTGCCACAAATTCTGCCGAAGCAAAAAAGTTACGGACTCCAAAGGGTTAAGGCTTCGTCAGAGACAAGGGTGGAATGTAATGAATAAAGACTAGTAGTTATATAGGGCTTGGTTCTATGTGCCAGATGAGTGCTTGGGCGGTAAATGCACTATTTAGCAAGTTTAAAGGCTTGTCTGCAACTTGAGTTGCAGACAAGTGTAACAAATGTCGAAAAAGTTTTACAAGATGTACTGGACCATAAAGCCTAGTTCACATTCGACGGAACGCTGACGGTACGGGACGTAAGGGCCTGTCGGGAAGGCTGGGGTGGGCTGTAAAATCTTGTACGATTCGTACGACATGCCATACTGCAGTCGTTGCGTCGTTTAACAGCGAACGGCGTCAGTCATAAGGCACGGTCCGTGAAAGGGTGACTTTTGGCCCTATTTTCTTGTTTTTTGGGCCTTCTTTTCAATTATTTCTTCTTGAATGAAGCGGAATCATGTTCACAATACCAGTTTTTCATGAACATCAAAAAAGTAGCTTCGAAAGGTGTGCCATTCAAATAATAGCTCCAGGAAATGATAAAACAGTTTGTCTGTCACGCTCCTGGACTATCCCTAAATACCATAAGTTACATCTGACCGTATCTTGCTAAAATTCAACTTAAGTCGTGTTAGCCATTCTGCGAATTATCATGGGAAGCGCCGTGTTCGAAATGCTAAAAATTTCCAAGTACGAATCGGGAGTGGTCGGCGCACGACGCCGTCTCCTGTTCACACTCAAAGTGCAGCTGTTTTGTACGCTTGCATCCCCGTCTACGCCCGTCTACGGTATGAAAAGTTGGATCGTCGCTTTCCGATCCGTACGGCAGTACGGTTGTGTTCCCGTTCCTGGTGTTCACATTGGACGCCGTCAGACTGTCCCGTCGATCCTGACGTCGCGTCCCGTCGCGCCCCGTCGAATGTGAACTAGGCTTAAGACTGGGGGTCAAGAGATGCGGTCAAAGTACTAGAATGTTTGTACAGAGTCAAGATTATGCAGAATCAAAGAGAGCGGGGAAAAAAGGGAGGGAAGTTCAGGTGGGGACCAGAAATTTCTGGTTCCCACCTAAACGCAGAGCACTGTGCTCTGCCAGTGTCAGTGATTTGGAAAATAGAATGTAAGCTTAGTACTAGTAGAGGAATCTAAATTGTACAAGATTAATAGAACAATTGCTTAGTTCTCCTGAAAAAAATTCCCGTTCTTCATAAAGGATTGTTTAATGAGAGCTTTGTAATCATTAGTAATGAAATGCGGATGTGCGGATGGTACTGAGTAATAAATACAATAGCATCAGACTTAGGCTTGGGAGTTTTGCTTTCTATAGCATGATTCATTACAGTAGTATTACAGTAGGCAAAACATCAGTGAATGAGCTAGCTAGAAATTGCGGAGGATAACCTCTTCTGCGTAAACGTTTCCATAACAAAGATCTTACATTTTGAATGTCGGCAAGTCTTGAGTTTGTTCTGTTGTAACGCAACAGCTCAGCCTTGATGAAAGCACGCAGGTTAGCTCTCGGGTGATCGGAGGTACATGGTATGTATAGGTATGCGTTGCGAGGTTTCTGGAATGTACGAAACTCAAACACACAGTGACCATTGTTGGTAGATGTTTTAAAAATATCAAGATCAAGGAAGATACAAGAGTCAGAGGGCAATGTCCAATTTAATTTGATAGTTGGAAGCTCACTGTAAAGAGACGCTTGCAAAGCTGCTAAATTTGTAGATTCTTCGATCACTAAGATAAGATCATCAATGAATCGATTAAACAAATGCATGGAGGACTTGAATGTGGTAATAGACTTCATTTCGTGTACGAAAAGGAAAGCGTTTGCCACATTTACGGCCATTGGGGTACCCATGGCCATTCCGAACTCTTGGTGGTATAGAATATCAAAAATGAAGTAGTTGTTTTCTACAACAAACTTCAGCAGATCTAACAAGAGATTTCGAAGTGGGTGGTTGACTAACAGAGAATCGACTGCAGCTATAGTGTCATGCCAGTTCATGTCAGTGTAAAGTGATTCCACATCTGCTGTGAGAATACGGACATTGTTAGGAAAGCTAGAGGTTTTCAAACGATTTGTAAGCATTGTTGTATCTTTAAGAATTGTTGTGTCTGCTAGGGAGAGCAAAACTATTCGTAAATGGTGGTCAACGAAACGGGAGGCAGGAGATGTACAGTAATTAATACACGACACAATAGGCCGTCCCTTTAACCCACACGTACACGGACCTAGAGGCTTGTGTAGCTTAGGCAACAGGTAAAACTTAGCGGGTTTAAACGGAAAAGTAGCAAACATACAAGAGCGGTCCTTAACATTGAGCAAGTCATCGTGATCATTGCGAATGTCTAGAAGTTCGTCTTCCAGGAAATTAACTTCTGGTACAAAACGATCAAAGGGTTCGTTAATATCTACTGGTAAGTGGGTAACTAGACGGTAGAACTTAGTGTCATTCAGCTGACGGTGGCCTTCTGAAAGGTAATCAGACTTATCAAGAACAACAGTTCCTAGATTCTTATCCACATCACAGATGATAATATCGTTATACTGGTTGAGTTGGATGATAGCATTACGTTCTGATGAGGACACATTTGGCTGTCGTTTCAACCATCTGCTTTGTGAAACGTTGTTAAGGAGCTCAGTTCTAAATTCCGCTAATGCCGATTCAGACGCAAAGGATGCTTTGGGTGGCTGGATGTTTGACGGCTGGTGGAATTTTGGAATGAATAGTTTAGATGAGAGTGGTTGTTCTGGTCGATTCATGAAGAAGTCGGACCAGCGAATTCTCCTCTCAAAAAATGGTGATGTCATTTAATAAAGTGTCAATAGACTGATTGCCATTTGTACAGATCCACGAAATCCCGTAGAATCCCGTAGACCCAGTAGGGTGTTGAATGTGCAGGACCCTATTGTGTTTTCTGCTATTTCCACTAAGAAATGGAGCCTGAAAGCATTTCATACGAAAACCTTTTTCTGACAAAGATCTAGCTAGTCATTAGTTCTAACCAAAGTGAAGAAGCTGGAAAAGCGATTGCTGGTCATTGAATTCTGACGCTAAAAAGGTCAAATGCGCATGCATAGCACACAGTGAACACTCTACCGGGTCTACGGGATGCTACGGGATTTCGTGGATCTGTATAAATGGCAATCGGTCCATAGAAGGCAATGATGAGGTAGGTCTAAACTTACAACCATAACCCAGTACTGTAAACCGTGAAATTATTGCCATGGTCAAGTAATTTCTGCGAAATTCGCGAACACGTGAAAATCGCGAAATTTAGACAGCGCGAAAAGGAGATCCATGAAAGGTTTAGCAAGAATGCCACAGTGCTACTAGTATGTAAACAGAAAGAAAACAATCGCAAAATTAAAACCTCGCAAACCTGTCCGGATTCTAAAAACGCGAACTAAAACGCCGCGAAAATGTCACGCTTTACAGTACTTGCTTCTCAACTGCAGTGAAGGAATGGTCAGAAAAGTTATGAAATCCAGAGTTGCTAACTAAAACAGCATGGTCAGAAAGTCTAAGAAAGTCAGAAAGTCTAAGGTGCCAAATATAGCGATATCTCAAATCGGCTAATGTTTCCTGGCTCTTCGGCGGGCATTGGCGTTGCCTTTCTCCCCTGGCTTCGTCTTCCGAGCACCGTTCTTGTTTTTTGATTTCTTAACCTTCTTCGTTGGATTCGTCTTTTTCTGTTTCACTTCCATTTTCACTTGTGTTCTCACATCTTTCTTGATGAGGCTGCCAATTTCTTCTGTTGAAGGTGGTGCAGTTGACACATCAGTTGGAATAGCAGCGGCAGCTGCACCGGCCTTCTTTTGCTTCTCAGCCAACATAGCTTTTGCTGTACTACCAGCTAGCCTGGATGCGAATAATTTTCTGAATGCATCTTTAACTGGCTCGACTGCTGGTCTAGTGTCGGCATTTTTGGACAAAGCTTTCAGTAGATCATCAGAGTCAGAGTAGGCAGTATCCATAGTAGCTTCAGCTTTGGCTAGTTTCACTTTGCAAGCGTTGGTAGCAGTGTTGGTGAAGTGTTTACACTGGATGTTCATTGCTTCTGGGCATAGATTCTTGTATTTATTCCTAACCCAAGTCGGAAATTCACAGGAAATGAGCTGTGCTTCTAATGAGGCTAATTTTGTAGATTGCTCGCCGATAATCTTCTTGGATGTGAAGATACGTCCGACGCACCATGAGGAGTATTTGGACGTGTCATTAAGAAACGTCCGACGCACCATGAGGAGTATTTGGACGTGTCATTAAGATACGTCTGACGCACCATGAGGAGTATTTGGACGTGTCATTGTCGACAAGATTCGGTGGAGCAGAGGAGGTGGCTGATGGTGTAGCGGCGGACGAGATAGCAGTGGCGGTGGGCGACGTCTGCATGGATCATCGGCGCTTGATGCTGGCTGGAGTGCTGAGGGAGGCCATGGTAGCGATCGGAGTAGTAGGATGTAAGGTGCTCCGATACAGCAAACACACGCACAGCAAGGTCAAGTCTTTATATATAATTATGATCCGTTTATTCCTGCGCGTTTCTGCCTTTGAGGCTTCGTCAGAGACAAGGATGGAATGTAATGAATAAAGACTAGTAGTTATATAGGGCTTGTGTGTGTGACTCGCTAAGGTGTGGTGAACCCATACGTGGGATTATTTCCCAAGTCCATCCAAAGTTTGGGGGTTTCAGGGGATGTGGGCCGTTGGGCGGTTCAACAGCCAATTGAGTCATCTTTTCAAGATTCGTCTCTCTCTCCCCTCCCCCGGGGAGACCCACGTGACCAGTTTTGGCAGTGTGCAAGTACGAGTGTGTGTGTGTGTGCGCGCGCGCGCGCGTGCGTGCGTGCGTGCGTGCGTGTGTTTCGTGTGACACTGCATAGACACAGTTCACCTGTTCTTTGTGAATGTACAAGCACAGACTAAGAATACAGGCAATGGAGTCTCGACCACTAGAATATTTCAAGCCTGAAATGAAGAGGGCGTTCTTCACCGCCCCGTATCACTTAGTTAGTGTGTTAACGTGCGAGTTAATGTGAGGATGCATTAATTCAACACTGGCTTCTAATCGAATGAGTGCGGTATGATGATTGTATTTGCTCTGTTTGATACTGTTCATCTTGTCCAGGAGGCAAAGCAGCGGTCATTAGTCGACGATGTCCTGGAAGAGTTTTCCGCCATGACGAGTCAGGTATGTCCGGTGTGTGTGTGTGTGTGTGTGTGTGTGTGTGTGTGTGTGTGTGTGTGTGTGTGTGTGTGTGTGTGTGTGCGTGTGCGTGTATGGACTGTTGTGCCAGCTAGTTTGGTTGGTGGGTACACTTATGCCGGATAGTGTTGGGTCTGTTGCCAACGGGCTCGGCTGCTTGAAGGTGTAATGTTGTACTTATCACCTTTGTTGGTTTCAGGGTTCATATACTTTCTATTTGAAGTATACATACCTGTTAACTATGGACTACTTCTGGCTAGATTAACTCTTGTGTAATCATGGTGCTAATGAAGCTTGTATCAGATCCACTCTGATTTAGCCACTCACACTAGTAGCAAGTATTACCTTCACTGGGGGCAGGGGTAACTGCATGGATCCCAGGGCGGATACCCTGATGCCGTCAATCCTTTTTCTGCACCTTGTCCTCACCCACTTACGAGGTGTGGTGAGCCCGTAAGTGGGATCATTTTCAAGTCCACCCAGAGTTTTTGGGATTTCAGGGGGTGTCGGCCGTTGGGCGATTCTATAGCCAATTGAGTCATCTTTCCAAGATTCCTTTTTGAGTCTCTCTCCCCTCTCCCGGGGAGACCCACGTGACCAGTTTTGGCAGTGTGCAACAAGTACAAGTGTGTGTGTGTGTGTGTGTGTGTGTGTGTGTGTGTGTGTGTGTGTATGGACTGTATTCATTTTTATGTATTCTGCACAGGCTTACCCCATATCGAGGGTGTGTGTGCGTGTATGTATGTGTGTGTCTGTGCGTGTATGTGTGTGTCTGTGCGTGTATGTGCGTGTATGTCTGTGTGCGTGTGCGTGCGTGTGCTGTGGACATGCTCTTTGATACAATCTCTGCCACTGATGTTGCTGCTGCTGCTGCTGCTGCTGCTTATGTGTTCATGATCTTGTGTAGATGAGCGCGTTGGAGCAGTACGCACTGCGTTTCCTTGAGAACCGATTGCCTTTACCGGAAAAACCAGCTGTAAGTACGCTGTGTGTATGGCGATTTGTGTTTGTAAGCGTGTGGGTGTCTGTCTGTCTGTCTGTCTGTCTGTCTGTCTGTCTGTCTGTCTGTCTGTCTGTCTGTCTGTCTTTTCGACTGTTCGTCTGTTCGTCTGTCCGTCTGCCTGTCTGTCTGTATATCTGTATGTCTGTGATGATTATTCTCTGATGTAGTTCATCTGCGGTGTGGTATACTCTATGGTGCAATCCATGCTTTAAAGGAGCACTCCGGGAATATTTTCGGTGGTGTGTTCTCTTCATGGGGGTCTTATATGGCCCCCAAGGAAAGGGGAATCGCGAAAACTAGACCCAAAAAGTCGATATATGAAGCCAGGGAGGGCCAAGTTTGTCTCCTCTTTTGATGGTTTTGATGACATCACGTGTGATTAGTATTCAAATTCTCAGCATTTGAAGATCTTAGTTGTTTGAATTTTCTGGTGATGAAGAACGATGTTTTGTCAACATTCCCAAGCTTCACAACTGCGGACCTACTCTAAGGAACCTGAAGGACCCCTGAGGTGCCCCTGGTAGAAGCGCAGCCTGATGAGGGCCAGAAGATTGGAGCGGACGACTTCACTGGTCCGAGTACGAGGATCCCGAAATTCTCTATACGCCGTGAGGCATATGGTCAGAACAGTTTTGTTTAGACAAGCTGACGCGAAGTCGGGGTGATGTGTAACGTATGTCAAAGGGATGTCAATGCTAACAGCTGCAGCGCTCTCTCGACAGCGAAGGTAATCGACTGCCCTCTGCATCACCCCACATTTCTGGCAGGAACACCAATCGTTATTTCTTTGTCGACCAGTGAAGTCGTCCGCTCCAATTTCCTGGCCCTCATCAGGCTGCGCTTCTACCAGGGGCACCTCAGGAGGTCCTTCAGGTTCCTTAGAGTATGGTCGCAGTCGTGAAGCTTGGGAATGTTGACCAAACATCGTTCTTCATCACCAGAAAATTCAAAAAACTAAGATCTTCAAATGCAGAGAATTTGAATACTAATCACACGTGACGTCACCAAAACCATCAAAAGAGGAGACAAACTTGGCTCTCCCTGGCTTCATATATCGACTTTTTGGGTCTAGTTTTCGCGATTCCCCATTCCTTGGGGGCCATATAAGACCCCCATCAAGAGAACACACCACCGAAAATATTCCCGGAGTGCCCCTTTAACCTTTGCTACTCTGTCTGTGCGTGTGTATGTGTGTGTGTGTGTGTGTGTGTGTGTGTGTGTGTGTGTGTGTGTGTGTGTGTGTGTGTGTGTGTGTGTGTGTGTGTGTGTGTGTGTGCGTGTGTGCTTGTGTGTGTATGTGTATGTGTATGCGTATGTGTGTGTGTACGTGTGTGTGCTTGTGTGTGTGTGTGTGTGTGTGTGTGTGTGTGTGTGTGTGTGTATGTGTGTGTGTGTGTGTGTATGTGTGTGTGTACGTGTGTGTACGTATGTGTGTGTATGTGTGTGTGCGTGTACGTATGTGCGTACGTGTATGTGTATGTGTGTGTGTGTGTGTACGTTTGTACCATGCAGAAGACCAAGCTGCCACCAGTGAATGGTGTTCAGCTACCGCAGATCAGCACACCAAGCTCAGCAGCAGCAGCAGCAGCTCTCAGTCCTATCTCTCCTCTACCCCTGGGCTCACCAGCCACAGCCACGTCCTCTGCAGCAGCTACACCAGCTAATAGCAGTGCACAAGCAGACACACCAGGACTGCTGGGGCTACCGCCATCACATGGTGGCAGATCTCGACCAAGCCACCGTTCATCTTCGTCTGACACACCGCTCTCATCGACAGCAGGACCTGGCGCACGGCATCGCCGATCTCTGCGTTCGAAAGCGACCGATGCAACCAGCGGCTGAGAGCTTATTCTCAGTGTTCGGCTGAGCTTACTCTCAGTGTTGTTGTGGAGAGAAGATGTGATATGGTTTAGGAAAGCTCACCTCTCTCTCTCTCCGGTGTACCTTATTAGTGTGTTCCGGGGGCTTTGTCCCTCAGCAGTGCCACCACGCTATAGGATGAGCAACTACAACGGCAGCGGCGGCGGCCGCATTGCTAGCAATGGTTTACAGTGTTACAGCGTTACTGTTAACCGCTGGCTGGATGTACATGTACTTGAAGTAGTGGTCAATGCTGCAGACTGTGCAGAGTATTGTCACGTTGACTGGTGCGGCAACGGCGTAACGTATGATCAGCGTGCTCACAGTGTTCTCAATAGCCCGTTACGTTGACGCCGCAACCCATGTGCAGTGGTCCAGCACCAGCAGCAGCATCACACCCGCCACCATCAGCACCAGCACCAACAGCAGCACCACTACCTGTAGCAGTGTATCGCCTTCCAAGTTGCCTCGCACACTCTAACCTAAGCCTACATGACTGGCAACTGATCAGTGAGTAAGCTGTCCAGCTGCGCTGCTGCTGCCGCCACCATCGCCAATGTCAGCACCACCACCTCCACCAAGCCCTCTCCGTCCCTCCTGCTTACGCGCATGTGGAGTGTCCCGCTGTGCCTTTCCGTCGCCATCCCGGTTGTTATCCTGGTGTGTCCAGACGTCAGTGCCTGCTACCGCTGCCTAGATGTGTTGAGTGTGTTCACAAGTTTGTGTGTGTGTGTGTGTGTGTGTGTGTGTGTGTGTGTGTGTGTGTGTGTGTGTGTGTGTGTGTGTACACGTAACCCATACTTTGTATGCGTGTGCAAATGCCCGCGACCCGCACATGTCTATTTTTCTAGGTTGCTTTTTTAACTTTATCGCATTGATTCGACGGCTGCTTGCATGAATCCACCATCGCTTGTGTTGCGATGCTCGTCCAGCCTCGTCTGCGGCTTGCTGCTGTCGTGGGTAGCTGTACTTGTGTGCGTACGAGCATGATTGCTCTGCCGATGCTCTCTAGCCTCTCTTGTCATCAAGCAATGGACGGGTATGCATGTTCAGGTACATGCTGCATGCTCTGCTCTGCTCCGCATGTGCATGTGCATGTTGCTTTCGCTGATGTCCAGCCGCACGTCTTCCTGTCTCTGCGTACATTCTCTTGCATGCAGTATTTTAAAGCAGCGTGCGTATCGAGTAACTTATACTGCGCCCTTCGTGCTGTGCACACCGGCTCTGCCCATCTTGCTGTGCACACCGGCTCTGCTCATAGTCATAGTGCTGTGCACACCGGCTCTGCCCATCTTGCTGTGCACACTGGCTCTGTTCATAGTCATAGTGCTGTGCACGTACTGGCTCTGGTCGTAGTGCACTCTTGTTGCAGCAACCTAGGCGTGCAGTGGCCGTGTCCGCTCCTTGTTTACTTGTACCGCCGTGCTTTGTGACACTGGTCGTGCACCGTCTTTTGCTGGTGCCACTTTTGAGTGCTCTTTCACACACACACACACCTTTGGACCTTTGGAAAGCCCATCGCCGAAGGCGATGATAGCTACACACACACACACACACACACACACACACACACACACACACACACACACGCGCGCGCGCGCGCGCGCGCGCGCGCGCGGACACAAGAGCAGCTTCTGTTTCTATCCTTTCCTTTCCGTTGCTTGGTGAGAAAACTATGTGGACATGTTATTTTCTGCGCCCTGTTTTTATACCGCTTTCGTCATGCTTCCGTTGTGTTTTTTTCCCATCTCAATTTAATCTAGTCATATTTACCCCCCCCCCCCTCCCCTTCCCAACATCCTTCACCCCTCCCCGCCCGCCATTCATGACCTTATTTTATTTCTATCCAAGCAGGCTTCTTCCCTCCCTCCCCCCCCCCCCCCCCCCCCCCCGCTTAGTCGTCCACATCCGTGTGTTAGCTGCTGGTCTTGCATGGCTGCGACCAGGGACTGTGGTCTAGTACTATGTGTACTCCTTGGTCACAGTGGCTGGTGCTCTGACCAGACACCATGTGCAGATCTGGATGAATAATGCTGCTGCGCATGGCTGCTCACTGTGCACCATTGTGATCCAATGAGAATGTAGAAAACAACGAACCGCACTCTCGTTGGGATAACCACGAGTGCTGCTGCACGGTGGCGTGCGTGTGGGTGTGTTGGGGGGGGGGGCAGTATTGCACACACGGGTACATGCAAGAGTTGTACTCCTGCGGCTGCATTGCTTGCCCCAGTTTTCCTGGAACACATCACATGCAGCAACTAGCATGCGGCAGTGAAAGTGTGTGGCATGCATGTGGGCTTGTTGCATCGCTCAGCAGTTGCAGGTGCATTATCATTCAATGTCACTTTCAATTTCCATAATGTGCCTGGTATGTGTGCATGTGGTTCGTTGTTTTTCTACATAATACCAAGAGTACATAACCCCCAGAGTGTGCAACTCCCACATACCCTGCTGTCCCGACAGAATTTCAAGTTGACGTCATTATTTATGACGCAATGCTCCTTGCACCAGTGATTTACAACATGTGTACGGGTGTCAACGCATCACACGTTTTTCTTTGCAATAATTTGTACAGGATCGATCTGCTTCGGTCAACCACAGGTTCCGGATTCGTCTGATAATCCGTGTACAGTGCGCATTGCATCATCAAAATGACGTCAACTTGAAATTCTGTCGGGACAGCACCCATAGTGGAGTTGCACACTCTGGGGGGTTATGTACTCTTGATAATACCAATTAACATCATTTCAAACAATCCGAAGATCGGAAATCAAAGGTGAAGAAATGTTCAGGAACATGCATCATGTTGGTTCCGAGACGAGGAAGGCTTGCAAAAGTCACAACCAGGAGCTTGCGACCGGAAATACCTCAAGCCGTTGACAAGACAAAGGTTAACATAATCTGAGCGCTTGATGGGAGGGAGTGGAGTGAGTACGCACAAAAAAATACCACAACCCGTTAAACAAGACCAATGTTGACATACTGTTACAAAGCTTGAGGGGAGGGGGAGGGGACTCGGGAGAGGTTACGCACTTCAAGGAGGTAGGATTGTCGGCCGTTTGGTCGTATCGATCGCTGTTAGGACATTACTGATGTGAATACGCCAGGTGCGGGGAAAGCGGTGCGGCGGTAGCGGTGGAGAAGAAGCAGCATGGTGCGCTAATGAGCAGCGCGGTGGCGGCTGGGTGCACGGTTAAAAAAGTTGAATAAATAGAGATGCTATATGGAGACTGGGCAGCTCGCACCGCTGCGCACGTTCATGGCCAGCACAAGAATACACAAAACAATCGGCGGCGAGCACCAAACGGCGAAAACCAAGACACGGCGGAAAATAAACGGTCTTTAAAGAAGAAGAAAAGACTGCAACGTATCATTATCAGCATTACCAGTACTCTCAAAACGGTAGCAGCAGCCACAACGACAGCACACTGCGAGTGCGAAAAGAATAACGATTCAAAGCACCATTTAACAGGTTGAAACAAAAAAGAAGATCAAAATAAACAACAGCAACAGCAAATGTAAGTAGCATAATATTTGTGTCAATGCTGCACGATGAAAGAGAGTAGTTCAATTCAATAGGAGAGTAGGAGTGCGAACAGACGCAACAACGACAACAACGACAACGACAGTCTGGTCTGACAGCAGCACGTGTGCTGGTGGCTGGCCAGGAGAGCATGTGAACACGGCGTGCACGGTGCTGCAGTAACACATGCCCTGTCCGGTGACCATGGTGATACTCACGCACTGGTAACTATGGTAACAAACATGCACAGCAAGTCATCATAGCCAAGCTGGATACGACTACTATGATGATGATGCGTTCAAGTTCAACAACAATAACAACAACAACAACAACAACAACAACAACAACAACAACAACAACAACAACAACAACAACAACAACAACAACAACAACAACAACACTGGTGTCCGCGACCGTAAACGCAATCGGTCGTTCAATGTTACGTGGGCGCACATGCACACACGCACATGGACGCACGCACGCACACCACACACACACACACACGGGGCGGAACACGTGCACTCTCATACCAGACCAGCAGCGGCAGACGTGTTCAACCAATCACTGTCATCGTCGTCGTCATCGTCTGCTCCACTGCCGTGCACAGGCAACAAGTCACCACCATTACGTTCACCTAGCGTTCCACCATCACCATCATCATGATCATCCTCCTCCTCCTCACCACCAGTCTCGCTGTCATACGCATCATCTTCACTCTCATCATTGTATACAGCCTTGGAGAACTCTCGAATGCCATTGCGCACTGGTCTAGGGCTACCACCACTCGTGGATATGATCGGCGACGCTTGTGGAGAGGGTGGCGACGGCGTATCTGACTCTTCGCCGTCGCTCAGCATTCGCAAGACCGTAGTAGCAGCAGCAGTGTTGGAACCGGTGGATGTGGGTGCAGACGTCGACGACGGTGATGACATCGCCAGAGCAATGGGATTACTCATCACGGGCACAAGGTCACTATCAAAGTCAGGCGTGTCTGACGAGAAGCCGTTCGTGTGAGCCGTGGAACGAATGGACGCCAGACGAGGGCTGGTTTTCGTCCGACCGAACGGAGATCCGCGCTCTGGAGACGGGGTTGCCGGTGAGCGGGCTATTGACGATGACGACACAGGACTGGGTGCGAGGGAAGACGGACGAGGTTCACTGACGGCAGCCCTTGTTCTATGCGACTGACGAGACGGTGAAGCTGATGGTGGTGTGAAAGTTGCCTGTGCGATCAGAACGGACGGTGACGACGATAAGGATGATGATGTTGTTGCGGCAGTGGCCGTGCCAGCAGCCGATGTGTTGGCAAACGAGTGCGGTGATCGTGTTGCTGCTGCTGGATGTCGCCCTGCTGCATCACCACCACCAGCAGCAGCAGCAGCCCTGCCAGCATTGCCGCTGTCCTCACAGCCCGTACCGGTGGTGGTGGTGAGCTTGTTGGACAGCAAGGAGAGCTTGAAGCTGTCCAGCGACGAGATGACATTCTCCAGGCTGCTGTTGCGCGGCTGAGAGGGGCCTTCTTCTTCCTGGTGGTGCTGTTCGTGCTGCTGCTGTCTTGAAGAGGTTGTGTAGTCAAGTTGCTCACCAGCGTCACCAGCTCCACCAGCAGCACCCGCACCACTATCAGCAGTTGGAGGAGGGCGAGCAGTAGTTGCAGATAGCATGCGGTCTCTGTGGTCGCCGTGGTAGGAGACCTGCATGTTGTGTACGATATGCTCCACCTCCGCATCCCCTCCACCACCACCACCACCAGACTGCAGAACAGCGCCGGTAGAAGTAGGTGTTGTGGCGGCTGCTGTGTTGGCAGCAGCAGCAGCACTATCAGCACTCCCTGTTGCGGTATGATGGCGAGTGTGATGATGCAGGGCCGTGCTGGTGCTGTGCAATGCAGCACTCTCACCACTAGTACCAGCAGAGGTGTACAGTAACTGGGCATCAGTGGACACTTGCACACCTGAAGGCATGGCAGCCGGTGTGTGACGATCATGGTACAGCACGGCTTCGCCATTGCTAGTCCGATGCATGGTGGGAGTGGTGGCCGACACGTCCATGCTACCCTCACCGGTATACACAGCTGTAGAGTGTGTGCTGGCTGCTGATGAGCTAGCAGCAGTACTTGTGTGCCCATGCTGACCGGTGTAGGACATGTTGTCAGCGGACGGGACAGTGGTGCTGCCTGCAGAAGCAGCAGGCGTGGATGACAACGCAAACACGGCACGCATCTGAAACAACCACACACAGAACACGTTGGACACACACACACACACGCCCATCACCGAAGAAATGATAGTGGCGAAGGTATGTTAGATATA